TGTGCTCTTGAATTACGTTATCTTGAAAGCTGCTGTTCAAACTCCTACCGTTCTGATTCCAAAATCCTTTTATGGTTTTAAATGATGAATTTCAGTGTAACTCATGAAGTTGCAGCAGATAAAAACGTGGCTCTGAGATGATGAAAACACGACAGTCAAAAACGCAAACAGAGATGTCAAAACTTGGGGGCACGCACTCCCGGAGACTTGGAGACTGTTACACCATGTAAATCACTGGCATCCGGCATTGCATTGAGACACAAGTGGGGGCCCTGTGTGTCCCACGTTCCCCTTGGGCCAAACACTGCACCGGCTGTCCCCTCATCCCTGGGAAATAGGCTGTTATCAGAGACTTGCTCATAGGCAGATTGTGAGATATGAGTCATGGATCTGTTTGTTCTGTGATTGTGAAAATTCAAAATGTCTTATATCAAGATAGAAACTGAAACTCTGAGTGTCACCTCCCGGGGAGCCCTGATGCTGTCACACCATACTTCTCTCTACCTACCCCTTCTACTCTAGCCACGCTATGCCTCCGCTAGGGGTTACCCCGATATCTAGCCAGAAAACTTGCTGCCAGGGTCTCCCTCTGTACTCTTCCTCTGTCCTATGTCCCATTCTCTCAAGAACCCAGCCTTCAAAGAGGCATTCCTACTAATGCAGCAAGTGTGACTCTCCCCCAAAAGAGGAGCTATCTTAGAGTGACCTTTGGTAGCAAATGTCTCAGCCCAGTGGCTTCAGAACTGTTTCAAGGAGCTCTAAGTGTCTATGGGTGTATGGGCTTGAGGGTCTCCCTATGAGCTTGGAAAGCCCCTGGTCTTTCTACGCCTCATGGAGTCTGTCTGCTTTTATGGGTCTGTTATGTGGGGCCCCACAGCGAGATGGTAGGCTCTGGGGTCTGATCACCGAATTGGAACCCAGTTCCTCCACTGACTGGCTGTGGGATGTTGGGCAGGCTACTTTAGGTGTCACCTGTAAAGTATGGACAGTCAGGGTACACTATCTCTTACAGGGCTGCTGTTGGACTAGAGGAGTTCAATCACGTGGCATATGGTAAACACTCCAGGATTTTGCTCTTAGGAGCTATACAGTACTCTGCAAAATTTCACTTGAGGGTTTCCACTGCTTAAAAAAAAAAAAAAAAAAAAAAAAACAAAACTAAACAAAACCCCAAACTCCTGCTACCTTCACTCAAAATGTGAACAACTCATTGGTACGCTGCCACTGAGGGCAGGTTTCGTGATGCCTCTCAAAATCCTACCTAACGTGGGCCTGAGCTGGCCTCAGGTCTGCCTGCTAATGAGCTCAACGAGCACTTAGACGCTCAGAGTTGCTGACTTAGAGGACAGAGCTCAGTGTAATGTCTGGGCGTTTTACGCATTTTCTTCCTCCTGAGTTTTGTTTGTTAGAGTTGTTACTAACCTAACACTTTAGGCCATATACATCCTCATTGCCCAGTGAGAGGTCATGGGGAGACAGGTTCTTCTTCATGGTCTGATCTTATCGGAGGGTGCCGTGGTGTCTGCTTCCTTAGAGACCCTAGAACCTGGCCTGGCCGGGCCTTCACGTCCAGGCAGGAAGAACAGAGAGATAAACTACCAGGATGCCTGTAGGTCTTTTCTGGGTACAGAATAAGCACCTGAATTTTAGTCTTTCAAATCCAGGGAGAATTGTGCCGTGGGGTTTGGGCTTTGTGCATTTTTAATCTGGGCCATAGGTGATCATTACTCAGAAATTGTGGAGTAGGGGAAGAAGGAGGGCTTTGGAATGAGGCTGTCCACCCAGGGATGTCAGCCCCTCACGGCTCCCACCACAGGGCCTTTGTCACCTGCCTTGGGCTTGTCTCCCCTTGTGCACCCTGCCTGGCACTAGTTGCTGTCTTGTTGATCTCCCCTGCCCCTTGGTGAGGTCTTGGGAGGCTGGGCTTGGGTCCAGTTCCTTTTTGAGTCTGGAGGCTGGCACACAGGTGCTTAATGAACGCTGATGAATTGAAGGATCACATCAGCCCATTCTTCAGTGGTTGGTAGCAAAATTAGATTACTGGGCAAGATCTTGACCTCTTGGGACGTGGATCATAGCTCATTTCAAATCTCTCTTGAGGTTCACAGACATGAGAATGAGGTTCTCCCTTCTTTCCTAACAACTTTTATTCACTGTATTTGTAATAAATTTTTATGTGCTTGGACTTAAGGAACTTGGATGACAATGTAATTTGCCAGTAGGAACAGGGCCCCGGGGGTTGGAGCTGCTGGACCCCTGGCCATGAACTTGAGTACACTGAGGAGCCAGGTGGGGAACAGAAGCAGAGTCAGATGGGTGCCCCCCAGATCGACACATGGCCAGGCTGCTGTACCACACCCTGCACCAGCCCTCCATGGGACACTTAGGGCTATGTCTATGGCAAAAGCTAGAATAAGGACAGACATATTTCATCCAATTTGAGTTGAGAGTGGGAAAGGGATGTTTCCACAGAGTCTTAATACCTTGCATCTAAGAATTTTTTGGGTTTTCGTTGATTAACCCTATGGCATTTATACTCATAGTATGTGGCTCCAGACACTTGGGGTCTGCCAGGCGCAATGCAAATCCAATTCTAGGAGCAAATACCCTCCCCTCCCCACCTCTCTGTCTCAAGTCTCAGGGCATTAGAATTTTAATCTTGACCACAGTTTGTAGAGAAAACATTGTTTTTTACATTTCTGTCTTTAAACTCTGAAGAAGACTATGCTATGGGTTCATGAGCAAAGCCCTGGCATGTGCTAGCATCTAGTGAGTGGGTCGCCGTATGCCAGGCTGGGTGCACACAGCTTTTACACAGAGTTTCACTTGCCCCTTCCACTAAGCCTAGAAAAAGAAATGTAGGCACCTTCACCCTTTAGAGATGAGAAGATGGAGGTCCTGTGGGTCTCAGTGACTTATCAGAGGTGAGCCCGGCACAAGGTGTGGGGCCAGCGCTTGAACCAATGTCCAGCCCCAAAGCCCGGATGCTTTCCCACCCCAGCTCTGTGAATGAACACAGGCATTTACTTCTGTATACACTGTGGCTGCATTCTCCAAACAGTTCAGAGCTTTAAAAAATATTTTGAGAATTCTCACTCAGGTAGACCTTCTACAAATACACCTTAGTTTGCTTGAGAATTCCCCCATTTCTTGCACCTTTGTCTATTCAGCCTGGAGAATCACCTTGGGAACAGAGTTCTCCTCCATCTACAACACAGGCTTTCTTTGCTTGCTTGGGCATGGTGGCCCAGCCACTTTGCCTGCCTTTCCCCGAAGGACAGGTGCCTCTGGTCTCCACCCAAGGTGGACCCAAGGGTCTCCGTGCTCAGCTCCCTGCTGCCCACTCCTCCCGGCGCTGGGGCAAGACAGACTGTTGTGGGGCACTTTGGTGAGCTGCATCTAGGCCGAGATTCTCCAACACTGAGTCCCTGTGCCTCCAGGGGACAATGACAAGGACAAGAGCCCTTGGCTCAGAACCTGGTGTGAAACTTCGAAACACAGGCTCCCCCAGGCACGCCCTGCACCTCCACGGTGGATGCCCACAGCAGGGCTTTTTCTGTACATTTTATTCTCTCATCACCTCCGAAGAACTGGAGGAGAAATCACAGGAGCTGGAAATTCCAAGGAACATTGCCCTTAGCTGTGCTGAGCCTGGGCAGGCCACATTCTCAGGAAGTGGAGAGAGATTGCGGACCCTGGCTGCCCATCAGCTTTTACCTAGGAGGAGGATTTAAGGGTGTCCTTGTCCAAGTGAAAAGAACAATACGACAAGTAGGCAAGGGAACAGAAAACACATTTCTGTTCCCTTACAAACATTCTTTATTGAGGGAGGATTATTGGCCCTCGGGAAACCTGGAAAGTTTGCTCTGGGAGGGGAGAGGGAGGCAGAGCCAGAGAAACCCACCTGGAACCCTCAGCTGCTTCAAGGCTATTGATCTTGCGAGAATCCAGCTTCTGACAGCTGCTAAATAATGCACCTGAGAAAATAGCTTTCATTTTGTAATTTGGAAATGGGAAGGGAAAATTCATTAGGGTTAAATGCACAGAGTACTAGGGGCTTTCCTGGGCCTGTCCAGAGCTGTTAGCAGTGGTCCCTAGGGGTTCCTGCACCTAGGCAGAGGTTTAGGGTGCTGTGTGGATGGGCAGACACATGGCCTCTGCTCTGAGCCTGTGACCAGCAGCGCCCAGCCTAAGCCCAGCCTAGGACGGCGTCTCTGTACAACAGCCCCCTCTGCTGGACTCCAGCGTGGAGAACAGAACTGAGGCCCTAGGGCTGCGGCTGGCGCCTGCTAGCGCCCTCTTCTCTACATAGCACACCCTGAGAATTAGCCAAGGTGACTCCCCTGCCTGTCCTCTACTCCCTGGACTATGGGGGAAAAAGATCTCCAAATGCAATCTTTTCTACATGCCCGCGTGCACACACACACACGGAAAATAGGATATACATCCAGGGGTGTGCATGAGCTAAAGACAGGTGGCACAGAGGTCTGGGACTCCAGAAGAGCCCAAGACAGAGAGAGGTTAGGGGCCAGCCAGGGGGCTGCTCACTGCTTGCACTCAGAGCAGGACTCTCTTCCTTTGACCCCACCACGAGAGGGGAACTCATCAGTGTTCCCGGTGGGCAGGTTTGGGTCATGGAGACCTCAGGGCCGGTCTAAGGAGGAGCTGGTCCTTTAGACTCTCAGTGTCCCCTTCCCTGGCCAGCTGGGATTACCTGTGGTTCCAACCGACCCCAGGAAGTGGGACCAGAAATGGTCTTCTCTGGGTCCTCAGGGATTCCAGACCATAAACCCAGGCAGAGACACAAGCAGCACCTCTGTGTCCCATTCCATCCATAGCTCAACCTTTCCTGCTAGGGTCACCTAACAGGCAGTCTGTGCAGCAGGACTTCCTCTGGTGACAGACGTGGCCCTTATTTGTAGCAGCCACAGGTGACTCCTTAGCACCTGAGACATGGCTACTATCACTGACAGCTTTTTTTCTCTAGTACTAGGCATTGAATCCAGGGCCTTTGCATTGAGCTACAGCCCTGTATCTGTAAAATTTTTTGTCTCAAATTTTGAGACAGGGTCTTGCTAAATCATTAAGTTGGCTGGGCTTTTACAATCCTCCTGGCTCAGCCTCCCAGAGCGCTGAGATTATAGGCATGCACCATCACACCTGGCCAGAAACTGAATCTTAAATTTAATCGGACTCATGTACATTTGTGTAGTTGCATGTGTCTAGAAGTGACCTGTTGGACAGCAGAGTTCCAGAGACCCCTCTGATGTAGGCATAGCGCTTGGTGATTGGTGTAGCAGTTTCTTGTCAGATGCCACTGAATAAGTAAGGTAGCAAGGGATGCACATGTGGCATGCAGTGCTGCAGTAGAGGCCAGGCCCCAGGACTGGCTTCTTGCTTTTGAGTGGGAAGCAGCTGGTGGACCTCAGGATCCAGAGCAGGTGTGTGGGCCAGGTGCCCTCCCTGCCATCCCCCAGGGCTGCAGTCCTCAGGGCACCAGATCCACTTAGCAGGGGATGGAGGAGGAGGCAGAGCCATCTGCTTCTCTGCACAACGCGACTTTCCAAGGCTCCTGGCGGGCCGGGCTGGGCCACAGAGAGAGAGGGCTGTGGGAGGAAACCCGGAGCGATGAAGCAGAATTTGAGAAAAGAGCAGACTGGAAACAGTGAGGAAGCCCCTGCCCCCAGAGGGTCTTGGGAGTGAAGGCCACATCTGGGCAGCCTCTCTGTGTGCCAGGCCCCAGCACCTGCCTGCTTCTTACGTGGCCTCCAGGAGGCAAAGGTGTGAGCCCTGGACCCGGAAGGGAGTGGAGGAGCTGGGAGGCACGGGTCAGCTCCAGGTCACTCAGCTGGTGGCCTCCCAGCTCTGGGGTCTTCCAGATAGCCTAGGCTCTGGCCCCACAGAATGCCCGATCCTGCAGCAAGCCGTCTGGGACCACAAACCAGAACCAAGACGACCTGGGTGTTGTTACTCCTGTCACCTGGTGCCATTTTGGCACCAAGCACCCTGGCTCACCCCATGCTGTCTGTCCTTCCCCTACTGTTCTTCCATTTCTGCTCTTCTGAGATCTTTTTTACCTTGTCTGCTTTTATTCACCCAAGAATCCTGGCATGTAGGGTAGCGCCAGGCATCTCCTTCCCATCTTGTAATGCATAAGAGGAGGCCCAGGGAGCCCTTCATTTTGTCATTGGTTTCAGGATTGGGTGGCTGAACACCAGGGCGCTTCTGTGGCCCTTTTGCCCTTTGGAGCCAAAGTGTCCATCCTCGACGACACTTTTGAGGGGTGGTAAAGAAGAGTGTAAGTGATTTTAATTCATTCCGGTTTTGGTAAAGAATCAGTATGCCTTTGTGTACTCACAGAGGTTTTGACATCTTTCAATGGTTCAAAATTCTTATGAGAACAGCTTTTCCTCCACGCGTGCATGTGTGTGTGTGTGCACGCTTCTGCGTGCAAGTGTCACCTCAGTCCACTCTTTGAGGCTTTTACAGAAGTGCATTCTCCCAAGGCCAAGTGCAAGCTTCGATTGCTGCTCGAGTCAAACTAGCTAGTAAGTATGAAGGTGCTTTTGAAAAGCAGAGCACCCAGGTCACTGGGTAGGGACGCTGTGGGGAACTCTGTCACAATGAGCCATCTTGTCTGGCAAAGGCGGCGTCCACAGAACTCTTGTGCATTTACACTCATTTATTTTTACATAAACATTAACTGAGCAACTATTCCTTGCCCAACATTGCCTACACCCGCATGCAGCTATTATCTCTTTGACTAAGGCTTGCAATTAATTCAGGTTTTGTTTAGGGAGCAGACCAGAGCATCTGGAATAGGATTAAAATAATCATAGCCCCCCCTTTTCCCTCCTTAGCTCTTCAGAATTTATTTCCCCGGAGATGGCGTTTGGTTGTTTGATTTTATGATTTATGATGACAGAGAGTTTTTTCCCCTGTGCAGCCCTGCCAAGGCAGTGTGTGTGTGGAGGGTGGACCTTAGACTGTGACCCAGTCTGCAGCAGGGGCAGCAAGTGGGGGAGACTGGCAATGTTAATAAACTGAGATCATAGAGTTGTCGGGGGTGGGGAGCCTGGGCCTTTGTTGGAAAGATATTAATAGGGATAATGCTTACATTCTTAGCTGAAGAAACCATTTGATCTCCTGAGCATAGCTCTGATGTTTCTCATGATGCATATTAAATGTAAAACCCCCTCCACTTAGAAAGTCATTTGTCAAGTCGAGGGGTTGGAAGTTTCTACAAAGTCCAGAGACTCAGAAACAAAGACAGGCACGGCTGGGCTGTTGCAGCTGGGCCGAGATGGGATGAAGGATATGTACAACAAGGACATTCACGGCCCAGAGATTCCACCTTCGGTGTTTTGGTGTGCAGATGTGAGGGATGGAAAACAATTAACCAATCATTAATAAAGTGACTATTAGGGACCGGCACAGAGCAAGGAACTTTTAAATCCATTTTCTCATCTAATTTGGACAATGAGCAGATCAACTGGGGTATGTGGATCTTCTTTAAGGGTTAGGGGAGGAGGGGAAGGAAGGAAAGAAGGGGATGGAGGAGATCCTCAAGCTGTCTTGAGGGTCCACCCTAACTTGTATTCCAAGGAGCGAATGGAAGGCGATTCTTTAATCTATGTGTGTATGCATGCATGCGTGTGTCCTTCTAGAAGACATTTTGGCCCAAACTCATTTCACACAACCGATCTACTAGTGAATCAGATTTTAAGCATGAATCATGGATTTCAGAAGCCCCCGTGTTAAAATGTCTCTAAAATTCTCTTGAAGGAAGAAAAGTCCCCCGGCAGCAGCCGATGGCCATTTCTCAGGTCAATGGAAAACTCGATGGAGAGGGAGGACTCTGAGGCTTGACGGACAGGTCTCATGGCCCCTCGTGTAGGGCCAGCCCAGGGTCCCACCTTGTGCTGCAAAGTCTGTGCTGTTCCGTGGAGAAAAATCCAGGCAGCAGCTGACAACTGCTTGGCAGATGTGGAGGAAACAGAGGTGGCTGATAATTTGGGGTGCTGGCTTGGGCAGGAGGGCCACCTGCCTGCCCTCAGAGGAGGGGAGACATGGCAAGGTGGCCACCCAACCCCACAACCATCCAAGCTACAGAGGTGCTCAGAGGGGATCTGGGGAAAACCAGACGAGGGTGAGGAAGACAGCACAGTATCAGCTGGAGCCAGAAAGTGTGTTCCTCCAGGAAAAGCAAAAGGTGCGCCGTGGTCTAGTGACCATGATCCCACGTGAGGGTGGAGGACAGCAATGTGTCCAGGTCGCTCAAGAGCTGCCTGCACAGTGTGTGAGGTTCTTTGTTGGCAGTAGTGTGTTCCTCTTCCAAACTGTCCTGGGAGAAGGATACAATCGTCATTGGCCACCTTTCACGAATGAGCAAACTGGGTTCAGAGGGTTTTCTCACCTCTAGAATGATGAAAGAGATGCTAAGAGAAAGCCTTGTGGATCATAAATGACAAAGTGACACTGTTTTAAAGCCAGATCATACGGTCTTTCTAGCCAGGTGAGTGCTGGGCTGTCACGAAGCCCTCACTCTGCCTCTCGCCCAGTGTCAAGGGCAGGGGAGCTGGAGCTCAGGAGAGCAAGGGTCCTCACTGCCACCCGTGGGTGCTGGAGTACAGAGGAAAATTCATCCTGCCTGGAATCATAGTTGGTTTTCCAATGAGATGGCCACAGCTGGAGATTTGCTTATTCTGCATGGTGGCAGATGGTCATCCTGGGGAAAAAAGTTTCAATGTTTGGAAGAGTCAGGTCTGATTTACACAGTAAATGTTTCAACTGACCTTCTGGAGAGAAACGATAAGACTGATTTTTCTTGGATGGGCCATAAATCAACTCAATCCCTAGAAAAGGATTCCAAAGATATGTTGGCAGCTGCCCCAGAGTAAACGTGTCTGACTTCCGGACATGAGAGCTCTGGGGAAAGTGTTCATTTGTAATAAGGTCTGGTGTTTCCGTAAGCAATCAGTTGGGTCTTATTTCCCTTATTGAACAGAGAGACCCGAAGCCTGGGAGGATAGAGCAGAGGCAGAAGATGGCCTTGCTGGTGGACACATTCTTGGTTCAGTCCCTCCCACTTCAAGGCGGGGGGGGGGTTCTCTTCCAACAGCAGCTGCCTTCTCCAAGGTGCGACAAATCCATTGGAACTGCACTGGCTTTCTCCTTCCTCTCACCCTCCAGGTCCAGTCTGCCAGGACAGCCTGTTGGCCCTGCCTTAAATGAGCACCCAAGTAAGACTTCTCACAATCCCCACTGTTCCATCCCACGAGTCGCCCTAGCGGTCTCCTCATGGCTCTCCCTGTCTCTCAACCCCAACAGCCACTGAGAAATCAGGTCACACCTCCATCACCTTCTTCTCAGAACCCACCATTGGTCTTGGTGGTTGACAGGGACACTGTGGATGGGATGAAGGGGTGGATCTGAACGTGGGGAAAGAGTCCCGAGTCTCCAGACTGCCCCAACCTTGGGTGACATGTCTTGGTTCCCTAAGAACGGGGACACTCTCCAGCCATGAGGTCCCAGGTTGTTATAGTTTACATCTAAGATGTCCCCAAAAGCCTCACTTTTGGAGGTGGGGTCTGGTAGGAAGGGGTGAGTCATTGGGTTGTGAGGTGGAAGGGTATGTTCACATCTCAGGCTCCTCCTGTCTGTTTCCTGGCCACCATGAGCAATTTTCCTCCACCAAGCCCTTCCACCATGTTGTCTCTGCCTTGGAGCCAGCAGGCCATGGACTGAGCCCACTGGAAACTATGAAGTGTCAGTCACTGCTGGCTTTGGCTGGACATTAGAGTAACCCTCAGTGAATTCCCCAATCAGGTGATTCTTGGACAACTTTTAACTCTTTTTCTTAGACCGTGATGAGCACCTGCTCTTGGCATCTGATGTCCAGGGATAGAAAGGTGTCACCCTGTCCCACAAGCTGGCTGGCTACAGTTCCGTAATGCACAGGGCCAGGGCTCCAGCACAGCCTATGGCACAGCCTCCTGGGTCTTCATTTCTCCTGAGAGGGAGCAGAGGAGAGGATGATTCTGGGGTTCCTGCCCCTTCCAGGATTGTGATGCCTACTGATTCTGTAGCTGCTGAATATTAGAATACTATATGGTACTGAAAAGGATGCTTTCTTCCCCACCTATCAACACAGATGAATCTCCCAACATGCAGAATGTGTATAGTAAAATCCCACTTATACAAGGTTCAAGACTCATATACAACTTAATAACATATCACTACATATATCTATGTATATGTCTATCTATCATCTGTCTCTATCCAGATAGTAGGAAAAGATAAAGCTCAAAAAGCCCATCAAATTTAGGAGAGTAGTTACCCTGCAGAAGGGAGAAGGGACTGAGAACTGGGAAGACACTCACATGGGGTCTGGGGCCTTGGCAGCCCAGGTGGGGTCTCCAGGCAGGTGCTTCCTCCTGCAGCTGTCCGGGTGCTGGTTTTTACTTACTGTGGCAAAGATGGGCCAACTTTCCATCAGATAGGCCCATGGGACAGGAGAGGGATGCTCTGGGCGGTGCAGGGAGGGCCAACAGCTGGCTGGATCTTGCTTTCTGCAGTTTCCACCCATCCTTACCAGGAGTGCTGGAGCAGTGCCGCTGGGGGAGCAACGTAGCCGACAGTTGGTTTCCAGAGGCTCGAACTTGGTATTAAAGCAGCAGGATCCACCCAGGGTCCTTTGCATGCTTGGCTCAGGTGGGGGATGGGTAGCGGGTATATCAGTCACCTTTCCCATCACTGGGACAGAATACCCAGCACCCGATGACTCAAAGGAGGAGAGGTTTATTTGACACATGGTTTCAGAGATTTCAGTCCATGGTTGGCTAGCTCCAAAGGAGAAACATTGTGGCGGACCAGCCTGGTGGAACAAAGCTACTCAGTTCATGGTGGCTGGGAAGCCGAGCAAGGGAACAGCACTAAAGAGGAAGGAACTAGGAACTAGATATAGTCCCCAAGCTCATGGCCATTAGTAAGACACAGAGCATTCTTACTAATCCCTGGGGCAGCTCCCAAGCCAATCCAGGTGACAAAATAAAGCGTCATCCCCATAGAGGGTGGGGAGATGGCTTGGCACAGGTATTCTGGAGCGAAAGAGCCATATTTCCAGCCTCTCGTCTGACCTCTACACATTCTGCAGAGTGTTTCAACTTGACTCATGGCTTGAGAACTTCTGTGAAGACTCTGGAACCTTCTGGAATGGTCATTTGAATTGCAGCATTCAACCACTTTGTGAAGAGGCTGACAGAAAAGTTCCAAGCCTCTAAGACCTGAGACTGCCACTCCCCAATGCCTCTGCCCACCCTTGAAAGCCTCTTCCTGCCTCAGTGAGCACTGGACTAGAGCCAGGGGCAGAAAAAAAATAAAGCTGTGTGACAACAAACAGCCCTCAATCTCACTACGCTCGGAGGCCCGAGATTCTCTTCTACCCTTTCTTTCTTCCCCAGGTGACACTTATAATCCTGCAGCCCGAGGGAGCCCAAAGAGATCCAGGAGCCCAGGATTTTCCTTTGCATTAACTTCTTATCTGCTGAGAAGTACAACAATTTTATGCTGACCAAATCCTGGCCCCTGCCATGGACAGGACTGGGCTTATTTTTATTTACATCCCTATAGGGCAAGGTTTTGCCATGCTTTATATCTTTGCAATGTGTATTATGTGAATCATTTAAAGAATCAATGTCTAACCAGAAACAGTCGTGCACACCTGTAACCCCAAACTCTAGGAGGGCTAAGGCAGGAGGATCACAAGTTTGAGCCCACCCCTGACAATTTAAGTTAGTGACTAGTGAAAATCCTGTCTCAGTAGCTCAGTGAGAAGGCCCTGGGATCAATCCCCAGTACTGGAAAAAAAAAATCAGTTTCTGAATATAAAATCAAGTTTCCATAATGGCTATGTTCTTATTAAAACTTCCAGGCATGAAGTGAAGGATTAGCACCCAATCTCAAGGGCAGTGAAGAGTCACCCCCAAGCCAAGCAGCACCTGTGCACAAGAAGAGGGGCTGACACCACAGGTCACCTGTCTGGGACCAAGCTGTCTCCTTGGGATACCTGGGTGGCTGCTCACCCCCAGCCAGCACACCCGATTGCAGGCGGCTTCCTCTCCCTGGATTCTCTGTTCCGATCTCACAGGGGTTTCTGGCCTCTCCACGGTGGATGTAGGGTGGCCAGATGCCAGCTCATGGCATCAGAGACAGCCAGTAGTCTATGCTCACCCTGACCTTGGTGGCCAGGCCTGGCATATTTAAATGAGATATTGATGGGAAACCCATTTGGTGGTGAAAAGCATTAGGTGAGAGCAAAGGATTGCTGTGGAGGTGTTGGCCATCGTCCTTCTGGGAGAGGAATAACCTGAAGGTCAAAGGGGCTAAGCTTTTTTTTTTTTTTGGTACTGGGGATCGAACTCGGGTCCTTGCACTTGTGCAGCAGGTAGTGAAACTACTGAGCTAAATCCCCAGCCCCTTGGGGCTTTAAGGTCAAAGACAAGGGATGAAGACCCAAGACTTGAACCTGAGTTTACCCCCCAAGGTCTCTTCCAACTGGGGCTGGATTCTGAGATTCTTGCTTCCTTGTACCTAGAGATTTGGGAGGAGAGGGTGTGAAAGGATTCGAACCTGCAAAGCAACATCTAAATAGCAAATGTTCCATTGACGATGACTTGGATAAAACACATAACAAATCTATCATCGTATCATCAGGCATCCAGGACTTCAGAAAGCTGTCCAGAATTTTTGCTCTCCACAAAACTGGCCCCCATCCTCCTCCCATCACCTTCTGAACAATGGGAAAAACAGGGGGAACTCCAGTGACTTCCAAGTCACCGCAGTCGCCCCTGGCCCAGTGGCTCCAGGTGGGCCTGTCATCTGGCCCCAGCAACCACAGATGAGAAGCAGCAAACTTACCACTCCTGGGCACTTGTGCCACTGGAAATAAACACACAGAGGAAATCTCTGGTTAAATGCACACAATGTTCCTTTAAAATACACAAGCGCTTTCTAAGACAGCCATTCCATTTGGCAGCCGGGTGCTCCTGGCTCCAAATTAAACAGGAGCATTTGTGAATCAGGCCAATTCATCCACTTCATCCCCATGTAAATGTATACAGGAGCCAGCTGTGGAGGGCTATGTCCCACCCAGGAGAGTTTACAAGGCGCAGCGGCCTGGACAGTGGGCACAGGCACGGGGCTTCCTTCCTGCTCTCTGGTGCATGGCCCAGTCTGCCCTTCTGGTTTGGAGGTGGAAATTCTCCTCCACATGAGCTCCTAGCCAGGGGTCTGGCACCCCATAGAGGAGACCATGGGCTTCCACGATGTCACTTTCTGTGCTGAGGTTTGAGCATAGACCCCAGGCACAGAGAGAATAAACCCAGGCATGCAGGTATTCTTCAGGAAAGGTGCCAGCCATAGGTGGGGAGATTAGAAAAGAAGACTTCTGGTACTCAAGCAAAATAGTACATGGAATCCTCTGCATCAACCTCGCACCTTTTGGTGATCCCTGAGTTATGATGAGGGAGCTAAGGTGCAGAGGGTTAAGCCACCTTTCCAAAGTCACACGGACCACAGTGACAGGTGTGGGAACTCGCACCCAGGCTGCCTGGCTCCAGAGACCAAGTTCTCCATGGCCAGCTTCCTGCTCTGTCACTCTGCTGTGTGGAGGAGGCATAGTCAGGGTCTCCGCTCCGAGGGGTCAGCTGGAAGAGCTGACTGCTGGGTACAAAGCCCTAGTGTGGACTTGTTTCTTCCTGTTTCCGGGTCTCCATTTCCTCCTCCATTGAGTGAGGGTGACATCCATGTCACACACCCCACAGAACTGTGACGAGGATCACGGGAGATAGAAAATGTGTGAGGTGTTGCATGGATCAGGAAGGAAAGGAAAGAATCTTCTGTTTATTCACCATGTGCCTAACTTGTGCTGCTTAACCATCCTGCAGCCTTGTGAGCCAAGTCTTACAGATCCCAACTCAAGACAGAGGGGAAAAGCGACTTTCTTTCTTAAGGTGCAGGACTTAAAGTCATGGTCTTGGACATTTAATCCTAGGCCTCGTCTACAGGATTTTTTAATATTGAGATTGCATAGGTTTGGGAGGACATGGATAAAGTTGGGGCCTTACTTTTGTTTTATTTTTAAATTTCCCTGACCATGTATAACCATGATGCGAACTTGGAAAGGATTTTGTTTGATCTTGACTGACTGAATCCTGAGTGGGGAGAGAGGTGGCTCAGTTAGCCAGAAGCTTGAGGAATGCAAATTCTGACTGGGTTTTTGGATGACTTTAGACTCATTCTAGAACAAAGGTAGTAAAAAAAAAAAAAAAAATCTATCAAAATGTTCCATTTCAGGCTTTCCTTAGGAAGAGAAGTGTGAGTCTTCAATTAGGTCTTATAGTATCTTCTAGTCACAGAATCATGGAGCTTTGAGAACTGGGAAATTTTTCCATGTCAATACACAGCAGATCAAGCTGTGTAATTCTCCTAATACAAACACACACAGACACACAATCTTCCAGTCAGACACCTGCCAATATGGGTTGTTTCACGTCTTTTGGTATTGGAAGTGATCTTGGAGTAGGCGTCCTTGAAGAGAAAGAAGTGTCTACTTTAAAGATTGCTGTGACAAATGAATTAATTCACATAAAGCACTTAGACCAGTGCCTAAGTATAAGTACTCCGTAAATTCTAGCTAATGTTATTTCTATGAACTGAATAACTAGAATTGTTAGAAAAGGAAATATTAGAATAACTAAAAAAGTGAAAAAATATGCAAACTTTTAAGGAGATGTGTCACGATCAGACTTAGTTGTGTGCTACTGCAGAGACAAGGTAGAAGTTTATCTATGTCTTGTCTTCTAGACATTCAGAGGTGGTCAGTCCATGGTTACAGTGGCACTCCATGGCTGCAGGGGCCTGGGCATCTTTAATCTTATCCTTCTACTATGTGTGGCCTCTGTGGGTTATCTCACTGTCTCAGATGACTGCTGGAGCTCCAGCCATTGTATCTACAATAGAGCCAGTGGAAAGAGAAAAGCCTGGGGAGAGGGGCAGGGAAAAAGGACCTAACATTGCTTTATAAAACCACTTCTGGAATTTTCATACACTGTTTTAAGCCCAATGGCGAGAATTGTGTTATAAAGTCATGCTAAACTGCAAGGGAGGTTGGGGGATCATCCAGGTGCCCTCCCAAAATCACAGGCCTTACTTCTATGGAAGAGAGAGACTAGGCTTGGGGGAAAATCAATTGCAACTGCTCAGGAGATTTGTGGAATCTGGAGAAATGCCATCTTGCAACCTTGGCTTTGGTAATGGCCTTTCTGGGGTCCAGGTGGTGGATTCTGTACCTCAGGGATTTTTCCTGGATGACCTCATTCCACCCAGACCCCGGCCTCTCAAGCTTTGATCTTCTGGGGCCTTGCAGCAGGGCAGAGTCCCTCACAGTGGGGATACCCACTCTGGTTGGCCAGCCCTGGGTTGACGCTGGTGGAATCAACTTCTGTGACTCACGTGGTCAAAGATCCACTGATTCAATATTGAATCAACATCAGACCTTGCTGTTTCTTGTTCTAGAGTAACAGTGCAAAACAAAACAAAGCAGCACAACAAAATCCACCCGACGGGATCCCCCAAGGCTCCTCTAGGTGCATAGCGTGGACATCCTGGTCACTCTGCTTGGCAAGGGTGGGGCCTGGCGGAATGCTGTAGAGCTCCTCTCAGGCTGCACCCCATCTGATCTCTCCTCCTTCCCATAAGCAATTACTATCTAAAGCAGTTCCACCTGCACCAGGGATTCTATCAGGATGTATGCTAATTAATGTTTGGAAATCAAAGTGACCCTGGGAGCGGTTATCTTTCCTGGATGGAGGAACCTTGGCGAGTTCCTCCCCTATTTCCCTCTTTTTCCCTTTAGAAGTTCGTGTAACAAGGCTATGGGTTGTGGCTCCCCTCGGAGGGGACAAGATGTGCTTTGGACTGGAGGATGGCCTCAGTCAGACAAGGGCAGGACTGAGAGGGACTCTGCAGTCACTGCCACTGGGGAGGTGCCTTTTATTCTCAGAGAAACAGCACATTCTAGTAGAGGAAATCTGGGGCCAAACTCTGGCTCAGGTGGGGCTGATTACCCATAATGCAACTCACTCCGTAGACCACCTGCCTCTCCTTCCTGTTCGCCCTGGAAACAGGGGTCTGGCATCTATACACTCTGCTCTCGAGTGCTTGGCAGTCTCTCGATCTCCCGAGCACCTCTTACCTAAACCTTTATTAACTCCTTCAAAAACCCTTCAACACTTTTATGGCCACTGCAGTACCAATAGAACAAGTCTCTACTAAACTTGTGAATAACACGTCACAAACGTGTGGCTTTGGGGAGTAGGACACATATTGGGAATTAAAAACAAACCTTTAATGTTTGCATCAAGAAAGAGCTTGACGAGAATGCACAGATGGGAAGCTGTAGCTGGGAGTTCAACCCCAGAGTCTCTGCTGACCACCAGCCTCTGCCCCAGGGGGCATTTCATTAAGCCCAAAGTATGACATTTGAGGGTCCTTAGGTCTTTCACGCTCCTCTCTCCCAGGTTAGGACTGGGTTCAGGGAGCTTCACACGGAAGTTTGGTTCTTGCTTAGACCTAGCTGTAGTGGGGAGGAAAGCCGAGCAGGACTCCCAGAACTGCAGGCTGGACCAGCTGGAGCTTTGGGTAAGAGAAGCGGGGATGAGACAACTTCTCCACCTCATTCCTCTCCGAGACTCGACCTGAAAGTGCATCAGAGGCTGTGGTTTCAGCCCAGCTGAGCTGCTTTCAACCTGAAGGTCACAGCTCTGCTCCTGAGGAGGGAACCTGCCCGCCATGCTGAAACTGCGCTTCCCTGGGAACTGAAACCGCTTGGTTTCACACAGCGCCAGCCCTGCTTCTCCTCCACCTCTGCACCCCTCAATGCAGGCAGAGCCCCCCTTCCTCCCAATGCTAGGCTCATGGAACCACCTAGACCCCAAATTGGCACTGTGCAGGGACAGCTGACTAAGAGCAGCTCAGAGTTGTATGAACTTTACTGAGCCCTGAGCCCTGAGCCCTGGGCCCAGCGTGCTGGGCTAAGTACAGGGGTTATTCCAGTTGGGGCAGGGGCCTGGTCAATCCCAGGATGCCCTGGCTGTTGGAAGCCTTTTGGGGAAGGGCAAGAAAATGTTCGCTTCCCTTCCTGCCCCTCTCACTAGTCTCTTCCCACATCAGATCTACCCAGAGCTGCTCCTTGGGCTGACCCCAAGAGGACAGAGGAAGTGGCAGAGACCAGCTGGGCTCAGCTGGAGGGAACAATGGGTAGGCAAGTGGGGAATGTGACATGGAAGTCCCCCTGCAGGGACATCTCAGGGCACCCCTTCCATGGCCCCACAGGTGAGGAGAAGGCAGAAGGCCTACTGACCTAGGCCACATGATGGAAAAGCCTTGTGTTCAGCAGGTAGACACTTCCTGTGGACAGATGTGGACATGCCCCATACTCACTCTGGACCTTGCTCCAGGCCTCTGTTGACTCTTGGCCAAGAGGAGGGGCTGGAGGGAGGAAGGGGCCATGTGGAAGGAAAAAACCATTTGCTGGTTTCCTTCACGCAGAGGCGTGTCCCTCCCCATTTGTCATCTCTACCCCCATTTTCCCAGTAAATGTCACCAATGTCTGTCCTGAAATTCAGACAAGGCCAAGGTCGACTGCTGAGGGAGAGGTGGAGCTGGGACTTGAACTCTCATCTCTGATTTCCCAAATCCAGGCTCCCTCCATAACTCTAACATGCTCTTTTTTTTTGGTACCAGGGATTGAACTCAGGACCTTGCACTTGGCAAGGCAGGCCGTGGCACCACTGAGCTAAAATCCCTGGCCCATGGACACGCTCTTTCTAAAGGAAGAGACCTCCAAAGTCACCTCTCACAATCCTCCCATTTCACAGAAGAGCAGGCCGAGGCCAGAACCATAAACAACCCACAAGTATTCAATCACCTGGTGTCAGAGCTGGAGGTGACCATGTTTCTTGTTTCCTAGAACATGATTCTCCCACCTCCATCACATTCTTACAAGAAGGATAATTAAAATCAGAATATGCCTAGAGGGTGACTAATTTATATTTTAGATACAATCAAGAGAAAATTATGTGAGCCCCTTGCCACAAATTTTCACTATTATAAGTGGAATCTTTTTGTTGCTGCAAAAATGAACCTAGCATAGTAAACACTGGATGACTTGGTGAGGAAAACTCTACAGGTATGAATTATAAACACTGTGTTCCAGGGATTTCTAATGAGCTGGTGAAAGGAAGCAGGTTTTATTAACTTCTTTGCCTTTACATTCATCTTAAACTAAATAGAATGTTTTAAAATTAATTGTAACACTTTAGGCCAGGGATGAAGGTCTGGCGTTGTCAGTCCCCTCTGCCTCAGTTTGGGAGATGGACCCATGTCGCTCTTACAGGGCAGCGGAGGAAAATCCTATCATCCAGCCCTTCTGACCCTTCGATCATGTGATTCAACATGTGTACTCTTGTATCACATCATATGCCCACATGTACTTATAACATGAAATATAGACCCCCGCAAACATCTCAGCTGAAATTGGTTATACGTTTTTCTTTCTTTTTCAGAGTCAACGACTTCAAAGAAATGTGACACTACTACCAGGGAGGGGATTTCTGGCCTCTTCCACAGCCCTGGTGAAAATCTTGCTAGGAACAATACGTCTTCTGTGAAACCCTCTCCACAGAAAGTGGTGGACATAAATCTCCCCTCTCACCGCTGGTGCTGAAGTCAAACCGAGACCAGCTAGAGGATTTGGAAGGATTGGCACTCGGAGGGAGGGGAGAAGTATCCGCTCATGGACGGGGTGGGAGGGCATGGCGAGGCTGTACTTGTAGGCAGGCAGAGCAGTCTCCCCAAATCCCTCACCCCTGTTGGGGCATCACAGTGGCCTGAGGCGGGCCCTGGGCTCTGCTGGTCCTAACCCCTCTACTTTCCCAGAGTCAGAGTGCAAGGTCTGCTGCAAAGGGTGACCAATTCCAGCCCCAGAATCAACGGAGGTAACTTCTGGGCCCAGTGAGCCTCAGAGGGGCGAGAGCAGGGTCTCTGAGATTGCTTACACTGTCCCTGCTCACATCCACCCAGATAGGGTCACTGGGTTCCAACTTCAAGGGGGGGAACTAGGGTGGGAGACCAGCTGCACATAGATGTCCTTCATGAGTGAAGACAAGGTCAGGAAGAACATTTGCCTTATTGAATTACTTTTATATTTATTGGGATTTTTTAGACAGGGTCTCACTATGAAGTTCAGGCTGGTCTTGAACTCACCATGTAGCCCAAGTGGACTTCAAAACTGGTGGCAATCTTCCTGCCTCAGCCTCCCCAGTGCTTGGATCATAGCCCTACGCCACCATACCTGGCTAATTTTAGAGCCACTTTCTCAACGGGGCCTATCCTTACCAGTTTATTAAATGGTGGAGGGAGAGATGTGAGGGGGGAGGAAGGTGATAAAGAATTAAACTGTGCTACATACATGTGGCCACTCTTCATGATGAATGTAGCCATTATGTATTGCAAACAGGGACTAATAATTTTTAAAAAGTTAAAATGGTGCCTCTTCCTCAAACACTGCCCCCCAAGTAGGCTTTCCTTTCCCCCCTTTTCTTTGGCTATAGCTCCAAGTCTCTAAGGGAGACGGCACATAGGAGGTGCCCAGTCTGCCTGTGAGGGTTTAAGAATGGGTGAGGTGCGTGCCCTGTGCCCTGCCTGGGCCAACCCCGGGCACAGTCCCTCCAGGCTGGTTCTCTTATTGTCTCCACCGCACAGGAAGAAACCGAGGCTTCGAGAATTTAACTGATTGCTGCCAGTCTTCTGAGCAGCCCACTGGGTTGGGCCCCGAAGGTCACTGGCACAGGGCTGGTGGCTGGCTCCTTGCTGCCCCTTTTGTGGTCAAGGCCTGGGCTCCCAGAAGCTCCTGCAAAGGAGAAGGCTGCTCTCTGCGGTTCTGGAGGCGCTTTCTGGCCTGGCCATGCGTTCCTGCAACCTGACGTTCCAAGCAGAGGCATTTGCTAATTTCCTGAAGAACGCTCCAGGAAGCCTTGTCCTAGGGTGAAAACCGTTTACAGGAGGTGAGAAAAGGGAAGTTCAAGCCCGCCACACGCTTGCAGGGTTTCCTTACAGGGCTGTGTGGACCTGACTGGGAAACCGAACGGACTTGGCCTGGCTTCCAGCTCCCGCCCTGCCCTCCCTGCCTTGGCTGTTCCAGATTCCTATGAGTGTTTTGGTTCGCTCATCCCCCCTGTGTTATTATTGTTGTACCACACATTAATGTGGGGCTTCTGTAGTGGAGAGGAGAACGGTTGAGTTACAGTAACAAGCTACAAGCGGAGAGAAAGTGTGGTTTGGGGCTGTCCGGTCCCAGATATGCACCTCACATCTGGACAGGAGATCATGTGACAGCTTGAAAAGGCAGAAACACATCCTGGATACCATCAGAGACGGGTTCTGTAGAATTAAAAAGGCTTGAAATACTGGCTTGGGGACTCCCTGTCTGTCTTCTCTGTTCATTGTTCTGGAATGTGTAGCAAGGTCTGTGATTGCTGAATACTTAATTTAATATTGTGAGCCCATCATATTGCGAGTTTGTTTGCATGCCTTTCTGAAGTGTAGCCAGCCCTTCTCCACTTTCCTAACTTAAGACAGAGCTTGCTTGATTCTGGGGCCAGGACTTGGTGTCTTGATAATGAAGATTCTAGGATAGAAAGAGAATCTGTCGCTGTCCCAGCCCCCCAAGCCCCTGCCACCCACTTGCTAACCCCGCCTCGGGTCCCCCCCTAAAGACAATCTTCAGGCTCTGGCCAAGGCAGGCCTTCCTTTTACAGTCTCTACAGAAGATCCTACAGGGTAGGGTAAAATAAGCTTTAAAATGTCAGCGAACAGAAAATGGCATGGTTCTTGTCAGTTAGAATGCAGAACGGACTGAAAGAAAAGTTTCTTGGGATGAATGGGTGCTAAACACCAAAATAGAGTCAAGGTCTTATTCCTGCAACTCAAAAAAAAATCTTTTTTCTTATGCAAACAAAACATTCTTGTGTAGCCCACTGGATATATCTTTCTCTCTGATTTACCAAGATTGCAGAAACCAGGATTAAACAAGGCACCCATTCCAAAACCAAAAACCTATTTTTTCAAAGAGAGAATGACTTTGGAAGTGAGCATGTAATAACAATAAATAAAAAAATATCGAAAATCACGCCCGTTTTCTTTTTAAGGACAAAACCAACCCATTGGCAAAGTCCTTTCCCCTGACATCAGCATTGCCTGTTGGTAGTGGTTCATTGTTTAATTTAGGAAAAGGTAGCAGAAACAATACTCATGAGATATAGTGGACCCTCAAGTTATGACTGGCCTGACATACAAACAACTTGGATTATGAGTGGAATTTTAGTTTTAACTTATGACCAAAGTCTTGAGTTATGATCCAAATGCCAGTCGCTTGTGCTTCCAAATGGTCTCAGATATAGATTTAACCCTTAGAGTGTTCTGGAAGAAACATTACAACATCCTTTCCTGTGTGGGGTTGAGAAATCCTGGGCCAACGTCTCTCTAAGGACACTGAGATCTGCCTGTGTACAAGAGAGAGACTTTGAAGGCTGTGTAGAGGAGCCTGAGCCTTCAATTGACCAACTTAAGTTACAATTAGCCTTCGGGAACAAATTGAGTTCTTAGGTCAAGGGTTCACTGTACCACCAAGTTCTGGGCTTTTCAAGCACGTGAAAATGTGTTCATCAGATCAGTGCTTCTCTTCCCCCACTAGACAGCTATATCTTCTGAGCCTGAACCTCCTTGTCCACTCACTGTGGACCTTCAGTGTCTGGGATGAGGGCTCATCCAGTGCTATCGGGCCTCTTGAGTCCATTCTCACCCCACCCACCCTGTGGGGTTTCCTGGAGCTGGTGTGTGGGGACAGTGCCTGTGAGTCCCTCACCCCCACAGCTTCTCTGTGGACACAGTACCAGCAGCCCATTGGCACCAGGCTACATGGCAGTCACAGCTCCTGCCATGGCAGCTCCCTACTTCCCACTCCCAGGATACTGCATTGCCCTTTGCAATAATCTCATTAAACTCATTTGAGATGACCCATTTTCTTAATTGTCTGTATCCTTCTGTGGTCCCGACTGAAGAAATTTTTATCAAATAAGCAAAGGAGGCTTCCTGTCATAATCCACAATTCTGGGTAATTTCGATAGCAGATTCCTGAAGCACACTTTTGGGTGTGCCTAGGTGGGTTGTGGAGGAGTGACCTTGGGTATGGTGTCTGCCCACTCTCCTCTCTCATGCTATTTCCCAGATCCCAGCTACCAAGAACTCAGCAGCTTTGCTCAGCTACATCCTTCCATCATGTTGTTTCTGCCTTGGAGCTAGCTAACCATGGACTGAATCCCTGAAACCATGAGGCATATTAAACCTCTCCTCCTCTAAATTGTGAGTGTTGGGTGTTGTGTCCTAGCAATGGGAAAGCTGACTAATACAATCATTTCATAAACATTTAGTAAGCACCCACCATGTGTCATGGAACTAGGGATGACAATTTTATTTCATCTTGAATACTACCTAGTAGATTCATAGAGTGTGACCTTGCAGAGCATTCTGAAGTGGCCTGGATTGGGAAGAAAAATGTGCTAAGATTATACCGTCATAGACAGAGGAATGGAAGCACATGTGACTAGCTTTCCAAAATCAGTGTTTGCCACCCCTGTGTTAGGTTACCCCGGGTGAGCAAAAGCCCAAGCAAAACAAAACAAGATGATTTCTGTGGCTTTATGTTAAAACTACATGCTTAAGAACTTTGGATATTCGCTAACAACCTGCCAATATTTGGATGTTCAATAACAGACACCCCAAATGGCTATTTGATTATATAAAGGAACCATTGACACAACTGTGCCTATTTCCATTATTTACATTCAAGATTGGATTTGCTGGGCTACAGAGTACAAACTTCAATGGAAAGTTTTTAATCTATTTTGCTGGTATGTAAATCATAGACTGTAGCAGCTAGATAGTTCCCAAATGGAATGAAGATGAAGATTTTCTATGGAGCCTGGGGCATCCTTCCTGAAAAAAAATCTAGGTTTCTCCTGAATTTTCTCAAGGAAACACACACACACACACACACACACAAAGTTGGCTGTCCACAGCCTTTTGTTCTTGATTACAGATAATTTTGGGTTTGTATTTAGCTCTACTCCCAAGATCATTGGCTTAGGACTTGCAGATTTCCCTGAATTGAACTTTCTGTGTCCTGGGCATGCCTTTTTCTGGGATTAGGTTTCCTGATAATACTGGATTGGCACCTACTCCTCTTTCTTGGACCTTATTTCTTTCCTACTATCTTCACTCAGCAGACGTGGATAAATCACCTACCTCCCGGTGCCTTCCTGTGATAGGAAGGGATTACAAGGTGTGATCAAACAATATGGTGACTAAAAATTAAAAACCTATTACACTAAAAACACATTGACATTAATCTCCTTCAAAATACCTTCCTCCTCCCCTTGCTTTGAACACTTTCCTAAGGTTCTTGCCACTTTCTGAAGCAGTTCTGGAAGTTTCCTTTCCTGAAAGTCTTTTCGTGGCTCCCTTGGTGTTCTGAATCCATTCAAAATGCTTATGGAAATTTCTGTTTAATAAAAATATCACATCGAGTCCTCACTACCTTCTTCACTGGATCTGGCACTATGTGACTTCTGGCTCTTCCCCAAAGCCAAAATGACCATGAAAGTTAAAGGTTTTGAATCGATTCAGAACACTGAAGTAGCCAGGACAATAGGACTTCTGGAACTGCTTCAGAAAGCACCAAATACAATGTTGGAAGAGAGGGGAAATATCTGAGAGCGATTTGTAGCAATGTGTCTTTTACTGTAGTAAATTAAAAAAATTTAAACACTCACATTAGTTGATCCACTCTATTTGTTGATCATACCTGGGAGATAGGAGACAAAGCTCTCAACTTAGGACGGGGTTCTGTCCTGATAAATTGTAAGTTGAAAATCTGAGTGAAAAGCACATTGAATGCCCCAATCCCACCAAACACCCCAGCTCAGCAACAAGGGTATACTGCTGTCCCCTTGTGATCACATGCCCAGGGGAGCTGCCTTTCCATATCACCGGCCAGTAACTCAAGAGAGTATCAACCATACATCACCACCCTGGGAGAAGATCAAAGTTCAAAATTCAAAGTGTGGTTTCTACTGAATAAGTATCACCTTTGTACCATCAAGAAGTAGGAAAACCATAGGTTGGACCATCATAAGTTGGGGACTGCCTGTGTTTATTGAGCATTTACTTTGTGCCAGGCTATGTACTGTGTTTAGTGTATATTAAATGTTTTATATATCAGAGCTCAGAAAACTTCATGGAAATCATCAAAGTATTTTCAGCTTGGTGTGCTGTGCTGGTCAATTGTAATTGTCACCTTGATTGCATTAAGAGACTCTTGGAGAGGTGATTGGATCATGAGGTCTACATTATACTCGTCCATGGATTAATCCACTTACGTTCACAGCCAAATGCATTGTCAGGAGGGTGGCCTAGCTGGAAGTGGTCACTGGAGTGTGTCTTTGGAGGGTGTATCTGTTTGGTGCTCTTTCTCTGTGCTCTGCTTCCTAGGGGAGCAGCTGTGCACCCATACCAGTCTGCCATGTTGTTCCTCCCTTGGAGCCAGCTGAATATGGGTGGAAACCTCTGAATCCATGAGCCCAACAAATCCTTCCTTTAAATTGTGTGTCAGGTATTTTGTTCAAAGGAACAAAAAGCTGATAAGTAGCCATCTGGCTCCTCCTTCAGCAGCTACTCACTTTCGTCACTGCAGTATGAAAACAGCTGTAGATCACACAAACAAATGGGGGCCGTCCTTTCCAGTTCTACTTTATTTGCAAGACCTGGGAGTGGGCTCAAGGTGTGCTTCCTTGCTTTGTTCGACTTCATTTAATTTGTGTAACAATCCCACAGAGTAGGTACCAGGTTAACTAGATTAAATCCTTTTCTTGAGGCCATTTATATAAGGAAGTGCTAGACCCAGGACCCAAATCCAGACCCGCGGCCCCATCTCTAAACCATGTTTCTAAAAACACCAAAGGCTGGCCCTACCTGCACAGCAACCTCCATGCCCCCAGACATCCCAGCTGACTTCCCCAGTGCTCTTCTGTTCCCATTATCTCTTTGGAGAAGATCACCTTTTCCAGGCTCCTCTGTCCTCGTCTCTCACAGTCGGTCCTCAGTACCGAGTTGGCACCGACCCCAGCAAGTCTTAAATCCTCTTACGTTCTAATTATTAAGCCCTCTGCCAGACTGAGGTTTCTTTCTGTCTACATACAATTGGAATGAAGTCACTGAGAAACCAAGAGTGCACATTGGAAAGTGCCTACGCAGTAAATACGTCGACTCCCCTGTGATTTTGAGTTTGAACCTTCCTGCCACTGATAATTTGTCACATGTCCCTGGCATATCAAAATCACTTTGTTTCTTATCAATGGTGATTGAAAAAACAAGCCAGAGTTTATTGCGAGGACTCACCAGAAAAAGTGGCTCTGGAGAGAGGGACGCCAAGCCAGATCTTCCTGCTTCCAATGCTGCTTTTTTGAGAGTCATGAGTTGCTGGAAGTGGGTGCAGTTCAGCCCCGCTGTGACGATGCCCGCCTTGTCCTGAGGGCTGGCTGGAGTATTTTCCTTGCTCTCAGTTAGCGGTGTCCACTTGTGTCAGTGGCAGAGGCACCAGTGTTACATCGTTACCCTGCCATCTACCCTGGGTTCTACTTCAACAGAGGGTGAATTGCTGGCCTGGGGTCTTGTCCCAAACAAAGAATTCAGCAGGACATCCAAGAGGTACAGTAGGATCAATGCTTTATTTGAAAGAGAAAGGACAGGATTCAGGTTGGGAGCAGGCGAAGGAGGGGAGCTCAAACTGGGGTGAGGTCAAGGAGTTCTGCCTGGAATGTGCCCTCACCTGCCTGTGTCCCCCCCAAGCCTAATGTATGGAAAAGACCCAGGGACAGAAGAAACTGAGTGAACTGAGAAAGAGGCCAGAACACTGGGAGCCTGGGGGTGTAAATTGGGGGAAGGGCGGGGGGAGAGGGGGAGAACAGGGGGGACAAAGAGGGGAGCAGAGGCTGGAAGGGGTGGTGCCTTGTGTATGATGATGGGGGGGGGCGTGGATTTTATCCCAAATAACAGGAAGCGATTCAAAGGAGATAAATAGGCAGTACTGGGATCCTGGGTGGGCCAAAAACATCAGGGTTAGAATGGAATTGATCATGTCTTTTGAGGTACACATTTGGTCCCAAAATAACTTTCCAATTTCTCGATACTCTCTAACAGCAGATGGTCTTCTCTACACCCCCCTCCCTAACTCTCTGCCACATTCTTGGCTCTTGGGTGCTCCCCAAACAAAGGCTCTCTCTGCAGCTTCGTCCTTATCTAAGTCATCCTGGTAACTCAGTTAAGTCCTTCTCTCCTTCATAACCAGTGCACCTCAGCTCTCCTGTGGATCCTTCTTTAACAGATCACGGAAGTACTCAGCACTCCAGGCAGATGAGAAGGGAAAAAGAGCTCTTTTTCCAAGATTCCCAGCTCTAGGCTTGCTTTCTAACCAACTCGAGTTTTCTCTCACACCAAGCAATCATTGGAGGGCCATGAAATCCTACCCCTGCCTGTGCAGTCCTGGCTCATCCTTCAGGATGGACCTCAGCGTTACCCCACGCAGGAGCCCTCTGCCCCCAGGAAGAGGCTTCGATCCATCCCTTCTGGGCAGTGTCCTACACTGTCAAATGGAAAAGAAACAGAGCCAACCAACCAAGTTTTGCCTGCTTAAATACACATTTCTGAACCTACCCTAACATTTCAGAAGGCAGGGAACATGCTGGGTCATTCTCCCCGTATTCCTCTCCCCTGAACACCACACCCTGTAAATAGTCAGTAAATACAGGTTGAATGGCTTTGCTGGGTCTGAGGCCTCATGCTCACTGGTGTATCCCTGACTTCCTGGAAGATAAAAGGCTTCCACCTTGTTCTCGAGTTTCCTCCTGCCCTGCGGTCAGAGTGACTGTCCCCAAACTTACTTCTGTGGCTTTTCCTTGCTGAGAGCAAGCCTGGTTCCTGGTGGCCTATGTGATAAAACCTGTGCTCCTCAGCCCAGCCTCCCCACCATCTCCAGCTGCTTAAGTTTTGTACTGCTGTGTAACAGATGCCATGAACTTAGTGACTTAAACGACTCCCATCTACACTCTCAGTTTCTGTGAGTCAGAAGTTGGGGCACAGAAGAGCTTGGTTCTCTGCTAGCTGTGGGCAGAACACCAGTCAGGCCTGTGATCTCCTCAGGGGATCAATGGGAAGGAGCCCCTGGATTCACAGGGATTGCTAGAAGAATCTCTTTCCAAGCATTGCAAGTCTGAGACTAGCCTGGGCTCCTAGAAACTCCCTGCAATTTCCCTGACAGTGGAGGTGAGAGAAAGGGAGACCCAAGGACTGGTCCTTCCAAAGCCTTGTGTACCAGAGTGGCTTGTGAAGTGACTTTTGCCATGTTCCTTTGGTTAGGGCTGGCCATAGGTGCTCACATTCCCAAAGGGAGAGGACTATGCAATGGCACAGACATGGGGAGGTGGGACCTAAGGTCGGCTGGCCACAGGTTTATCTTCTGCTGGCTTCCAGTCTTTTGAGCTCTGTGACCATGTCTCCCAACATCTCTGAGGGCACAGCGGCCTCCGATTCCGATTACAGCACAGTCTTCCATTACTTTATCTCTGGCAGTAATGCTCCCTCAGTGTTCCCCTGCCTTACTTGCACATAGACACCACTTTGTCTGACAGGCCTGAGCATACTAGTGTTTGTGGATGTTGAGGATCTAGAAGAGGATTTCCCTTACATTATTCCTCCAGCAAGTCTTTGGGTCTCTTTGGGACACAAGTACCCCGCCTTTTAAAGGTTATTTCTGAATGACTAGGATACTCTAGGAAAGGGTGAAGGTGAAAACTAGAAGGACTTATGTGTGTGATGGGGGAAAGAACTAGAAAGAAGAAAGTGGAGCAACACAAAGAACCTGAACTAAGATTTTTCTTTGGCTGAAATTGGCTGGGAGAAGAAAACACTTCCTCCTCTAAGAGAGGGAGTAATCAGTGATAGGGTTGGGTAAGAGAATTTGGGGGTTCATCCAGAATAAGTGGTAAGCATGAGAGGCAAGTGTTCCTGGATATCAGCCCATGAAGGATGAATATACGGGTTCCAGTTTGAGGAAAGATTATGCATGTGGCACACCCAGCCGATTTCATCTGCTTGTCACCAATGTGATTAATACTTGCAGCAACACACACACAGAGTTATGGTTTGTGTCTAGATGTTCCCCTAAAGGCTCGTGCAGTCATACATGGGGCTTCTCACAGGTGGCTGGATCTAGAATGTGATGCTAGGATTGATTCATGGTGTGAGTGCTACTCACCCTAAGTAGCCTGGATAAGACATAATGGAAGGAAAGAGCTGTGGTCGCCACCTGCTTGCTTTGCTACCTTCTGCCCACCATGAACTGTTTCTCTTCTGCGATGCCTGTCTGCTGTGCCACCCTGCCTTGGAGCCATCTGATAGACTGAAACCTCTACAAACTTAGCTAAATGAACCTTTCTCCCCTTAACTTGTGAGTGTTGGGCATTTTTTGTCCCAGCAATGAGAAAAATAACTAAGGCACCCACCCACCTTCTTATTAATGAAGCCCATATGCCTTATACAAGAAACAGATTACAAAACTCTGGAAATCTTTTACTAAGACATTTCCTGTCCCTGAGCCTGTCACTGCATCCCTTCCACCCACCACTTTTTTCTTCACTTTGCCTTTCTCTTTCTCCTCCTCTTGCTTTCTTGTTCCTTCCTGCATCCTTTTTGTTCCCATTCGCATCCTGAAGGCTTTGCCCTGCCTTGGTTTTGCAATGAGCAACTGCTGCGGATTTTGAAGAAACAAGTGGACTCTGTACCACGGGAAGCTCTGTTTTGGGAAAAACATCTTTGTTGAGACAATGACTCAGAAGTCTCCAGCCAGGTATGATACAGCACCTCACAGTAGGGCTTACTTTGGGTCCCCAACCAATCGTACATGTTTACACATGTAGAATTGTAGGATGCCAGAAACTCACAGGCCATCTAATTCAAAATGTTCATTTCACAAGAGAAACTGAGGTCATAAAGGAAAATAGATTTGACTAAACTCATATGAAACTGGAGATTTCCTACCTTAGAGTCTGTCGATATGAGCAAATTTGGGATCTATGTGTCAATAGTCCAGAAGAAATTCACTCAAACACACAAAGGTGGGCAAGGGTGAGTAGATATGTATGCAGCAGTGACAGCCAAATATGGTACACAGAGTTCACACACTGCTGCTCTCTAGCTCTTTTTTGCTGGCTTCAGCTCCTACGATCTAAGAGTGGGGTAGCTATGTCCTCCACTAATCCCCCCACCAGTAACCATGTAGCTATATTGGAGTCAGACTGGAGGGAATCGGGGCTGCTCACAATGGGCTTTTCTCAGTTCTAATCAGGCACCTGGGGTAGGAATGTTCAGCAGAATATAGTAGAGTCATCCAGCATGACCCATTTTCCTAGGGAGCACATAGCTGGGAAAGAGACGTCCCAATAATCTAGTCCTGCCACTGGCTTTTCTCTGTACGGCCTTGGGAAGGCCCCTTCCCATCTTTGGACCTCTGCTTCAGCATCTTGTGTGAATGATAGCCAGGGAGTTATGAGGAGTGAATGCAGAAATGGATGGACAGGCACATGATATGGCCAAGTGTGATAACATAAGGGATTGGAGATCTTATTGCTATTTATTCAATTTCATTGCTGAGGGAATGGAGTCTGTTTTCTGCAAAGGTTCGAGGCCTCCTGGCCCACTGTCCCTGAGAGGCACCCCCTGCTGCTTCCCCTACACAGGGGCTTTTCTGACAGCCCTTCAAAGTCCCCATGCTGCTGCCCACCCTGTCACTTCTCCATCCTGTTGGTTTTATTTTTATCTTTAGTGCTCATCACACTCCATTAGCTGTTTGTTTATGTCTTTCTCCCCACCCGAATATAAGACCTAGGAGGCCAGGGACTGGCAGTTTTATTAACCCGAGTCTTGGGGCCCAGAATACATTGAACAGGCATAATGTGCCAGGCTCTATCAATGTTTGCTGAGGAGTGAAAAAGACAGGCGACACCCTGAGGGTCGTCTTGGATGCAAACAGATGCAGCATCCAGACTACTGGGAGGTGTGGCAGTCATGGGAGGACAGGGAGAGACTCCAGGGTGGTGGTGATGCTTGGGTGATCCACAAATTCAGATTTGTGGTCTGAGTGGTTGGCTTGAATGCCACAGATCTTTGAGCCTTCCAACACTCTGGGGACTTTTTATCTGTAAACCTCCAGGGATATCAAAGGGCAGGAGCGTTAGGAATCAGCAGTTCACAGAGCAGGGCTGCAGCTGCCGGCACCTACCTGAGTGTAGGCTGTGGTGACACTGAGGGGGTCTGCCTCTGCTACTGTGACCAGCAGGTGGTGGTGGGGAGGTGAGCAGTCAAGAGGGGAGACAGGTGGGCCCACGGCACCTAGGGGAGACCCCGAGACTGGTCCTGCCGTCATCCTCAGTGTGAACCCATCCTTGCTATATGGGGATGTCTTCTGGGATCTGCCCATTGGGCTGTGTGGGTGGCCTGGGTTCAAGAACTACACATGGTGCTGCACATGCCCACTGGGACACCCCTCCCACCAGGAACCTGTTTGGAAATGGAGGTGAGGGCAGAGCTCTCAAGGGACCCTGCCATAAGGGACCTCAGCATACCGGGTGGGAACACTCACGTCACAGAGCCAGGTTCAAGGGTCTTGATTGTGCTGTGCACAAGGGCATTATCGGACTACGCGTGTCACTCACGATGGGCTGGTTGGTCGGGTTGTGATGGCCTGTGTGTCACATAACATTGCACGTGCAATATTATATCTGTCTGGGAGCTCACATGGCTGTGTGTGAGGAGAGGGCCCAGGCAGAGGGGATCCAGGAGGGCAGGACCAGGTGTCCAGTGGGTGATGCTGTGGTGCTCACAGAGCTCGCCTCCCTCCCAAGTTTCAGCACATGTGGCCGCTGCAGTGCTCTCTGCAAAGAGCCAAGTGGCACTTGGCTGCTCTCCCTGGTGGCCTTCTGTGGATACCTCCGCCACAGCCCCTGGGCAGCTGACATGTTTCCATCTCTGTTCCTCGGTTCTGCATCCACAGTCCACATGCCCCACCCCTGGCTGTCAACTCCATTCTCTCATCTGAGGCAGGGTGACCAGGTCGATGCTGGGTTGGGTGGGAAGCTATGGGGTGGACCGGGCTGGTCCAGGGTGTCTGAGTGCCCCAGATGGGGACCCTATCTTGGGGAAGAGCCACGTTCTATCCCCAGGCTCCTAGTCCCCAGCAGGCCTGGAGTGAATTTTTGACCTCTGCTGTCTCTGCCTAGGGCAGGGCCCGTCTTGGAATCTTTTAAAGTTTTCTGTGATGTCCTGGGTGCTGCTTTTCTCCACGATGCTTCGTTCCTCCAGCCAAGTCACACTGTGCTGTGGCCACAGGAGATGAATTATCTGACACAGGCATTTGCAAATGACAGATCAAACTTGAACCTTCAGGCAGGGGTCGATGGCAGAAGCTCCCAGGCCTCTGACCCCAAAACACGACCCCTGGCCCCAGCATCGGCTCCACCCCTTCTGGGCTTGCAGAGCGGCTCTAATCTCCTCGATTGTCAGTCTTCCCAGCAGAATTGAGTGAGGGGTAACTGGGAGCCCCCTGGCTTCTGTTTCCTAGGACGACCAATTGTGAGTTCGGGTTGAAGGGCATTGGAGGAGCCCGTGACCCCACAAGTCATGGTCAATCGCTTTGCCCGCGTGTGAGGGACTGCACACCACTGTTTGCTTTTGAAACACACTTGCACTGGTCCACGCCCGTGTGTGCAGTAGTCTCAGAGCTGGCCCAGGGAGTTTTTCTTGGCACAATCGCAGATCTGTCTCTGTTTTAGACCCAGGCCACAAAACAATGGTTCTCAGAGACAGCAAAGAGGAAACTGGGCAACTGTGACCAGATCCTCTGCCACCCGCTGCTGCCTTCCCATTCCCTCCACTCCAGGGTGCAGACAGCCTCTCTGCCCCTTCTCCATCCGGGCAGACCCCGTGACACCAGATAAGGAGAATTTTAGAAATGTCAGACAACTGTGATCTGTTTTATTCTGAATTTATTTTTTAGCTCAGAGGAACTGTGAACTTGTATAAGGACTTTTCAAACCCTATAGGTTCTCAGGCTGTGGCCGCCGAGGGGCTGGGCTTAAAGGGCACCATAACTCCTGTCTCTACTCCCAAGCTGGTGGGTCAGTTATTTCGTTGATTTGTGGTCCATTTCCAAAACTGCTCCAAGATAGAAATCAAATCCTGACATCACATTCCAAAACCTTCAGCTGCTCGCAGCTACCTGCAGGACTGAATTCCAAAGAGTTAGACAAGCTCCTAAGTACTGTACAGTTGTTTAGGTGGTACACTGCATCATGCTACAGCTTATCATTCTCTGTAAAACCACACCGAGGCCGTGTAATAAGCAGTGTTCAAGGTGCTTCACCGTGTGAGTCCAAACCTCTCTTCACAGTGGGTCCCTAGCTGAAGCTACACCAGTAGCTTTAGTCTGTCTAGTCTCACTGCATCTTACAATTTCTACACCTGGGTGTTTGCACAACCTCTTCCCTTAGAACAAGGAGCACTGGCTCCTCGCCTGCCTGGTTGCGTCTTCCCAGTCCTGCAAATGCTGCCCTCAGCTCTGCCTTCTCCTTGGTGCTTCCGGGTCCACACACCTAGAAGCCGTCGGAGCCCTGGTTGCAGAGGACCCAGAAACCCACTGCGCACCACAGGAGTTTTAGTTCTCTTGCCTCGCACTTGGTGGAGTTGCCATCCAGAGCGCGCACTCAGGCGACGGAGCCCGAGTGTAATGTCCCCCGTGTTTCCTCCACCAGCGACACAGAGCTGCACCCCTGAGCGGCTTCCCCTTGCCTGCCGGCTGGTTCCAGCGGCTTCGTAAAAGCTTCTCTCCCCACTCCCCACCCCCTCTTGCTATTTTATTCCAGTTCCTGGAATTTCATAATAACAGAGATGCTTCCAGAAAGCTGACACAGGCCATTTCCCCTAAACAAACGCATGTTTTCATATGACATGCTGCGGAGCTTGCTATAAAAATTCTGTGTTCCAGTTCCATCGGACACATTCCAAAAAATAATAATAATGACAAGAAAACAATCACTTTTTTAGCGCTTTTACATACGGGCGAAATCCATACATCATTTTATTTTATCCTCAGCTTGTCAAGGAGGGAGATATTTATATTTCCCCGGTTGAACAACGAGTAAAGAAAGGCTCAAATAAATAAAGCAACCTGTGTCCGATCGCCAGTGAGTGGAGTTGAACCAAGGCCTCCGGCATTTCCAGGGTGTTATCCAGGGCTGACATAGGGGTTTGTGCGGCTGGGAAGGCACTGGGGTTTTGGGGAAGACCCTGAGGTGGCCAGAGACCTCAGTACCCAGAGTGCATTGCCAGAAACAACTTAATAATAAGCCTTATTACCTTGAAAACTAAGTAATTGGACGGGATCCCTTCCTATTCTAAGAATTTGTGCAATTATACAAAAGTGAAGACATGGCCCTTGCTTTCAGGAATTTAAGATCTTTTTGAGAGTGGGGGGCATTAACTTTAGGGGAGAAGAGCTGGTGAGGAGAGAGAGGGCAGCCAGGTCAGTGGGCTGGAGGCCAAGGGCACTGGGGGCAGCTCTCTACAAGCAGGGCGGGCTGCGTTGCCCAGCAGGAGAAGCCCTTCCTGGAAGGATGATGAACCTGACCTTCCCAAAAGGACCTCAGAGGCCTGCCGGTCAGTGGCATAAGTCACAACCCTCAGGATGTTTATCAGCTGGGCCATTGTGACCCTTCAGCAAGATGTTTCTTGAGCAAACTTTTTTTTGGAATTTTGGTGGGCTCTGACCTGTAGTTTTCACTTCCAAAATAACTTGACTTTTTTAAAGTGGTAATTTCACTTCATGATAATACTAAACTGAAGCCACATGAACTCTAATTGGAAGCAGGTCTTGGGCTGCAGGGTTGCCAAGAAGCGGTAAGAAACATGCTTATTCTACTACTTTGCTTGAGGCACTCAGCATTTTTGAATGCCTGGGCAGAAATATAGTTTTTTTAAATAAAGCCAATCCCTGGGAGAAGAGGGGGCGACGGGGGAGGGAGAGAGGCAGGGGTGGAGGTGGTTAGAAAAGGGAGAAGGGGTTTTTTTCAGTCCAAAGAGAGGAAAATCACACTCTGTTTTCGTGTATCAGTTTTGATGCTGGTCCCTGCCGCCTTTGGAATTAGTGAAGTCGGGGTGCTCTTCCTGGATGTCTGGGGCTCATGGGGCTGATGTTCTTTCAACTTTTCAGTGGGTACTCGAACTCCTTCTGCCAGCACAGGCTGGGGCTGACCTCACCAGGGCAGCAGGGTGTTATTCCTTCTCCCATTGTCCTTCCCACATCACTCCCTTGTCCTATTAATTGCATCCTGATGAGCAAGGCATTCAGTCCTCCGGTGGCTGCTGGAGATTGCTTTATTTAATAAGTCTCTCTTGGAGGAGGCGAGACAGCAGTTTTGCTTTTTCTTTTTAGAAAAACAGCACACTGTCCCAGGGAAGGCCTCCGAAAACATTGACATAAAGGAAATCTTTAAAAATTGCTTTCCAGAAAAGAAACAAAACAAATCCCTTCTCTGAAAACAAAAGTTATATAACAGAGTAATTGCACAGCACAGCTTTCTGCTGGAAGCCCAGGCTGTTTGGGGGATGCAGTTGGGAGCTGAGTAATCACACGATGGGGAGAGGTCTCCCTGCCCGCTGGCCTCAGTTTCCTTAAGACACCGTTTCAAAGAAATGTGTGGGACTGGACTCCCCCGATTCTGTGGTTCTGACCCACCCTGTCAAGTCACCTCCCAGTGCTGCTAACCCTGTGTGCTCCAGCCCCGTGGTGTCTGTGCCCTGTGGGGCTGGATGTCCCTTCTCACTTGGTTTTGTTGTGTCTAGTGCTGGGCTTTGGGGCGGTTGTGGAAGGACACTGGGCAGGATTCTGATTTTCCCTTTCCCACTTTGCACACACAGAAAGGGGTAGGTAAGGGGTACATGGAGAAAAATAGAGTTCTAGATTTCAGCTTTGACTGTTGGCTATAAAAAGCCCACAGCACTGGGGCTGGGAAAGGAGAGCCTGGAGCTTGGGTTGCAAGAGAAAGTCCCGAGGGGAAATGTTTGGAAATTCAACCACAGTGCCTCAAGATAGATGTGACTCAGTGACTTCCCACAGCAGGGAGCTCAAAGAGCACATCGTGTCCCTCAGTGCCTGCCCATAGATTTCCCTATGGTAGGCCTTGAGGTTTGCAATGGAGACCCCACTGTGGTCTCCAGGGACTACACAGGTGTCATAGGTCCCATGGGGACATGTGCTTTCTCTTGATGTCTCCAAGGACCACGGGGCCCAAAAGCCCTGAGAAGCAAAACATCTGGTCCACTTCAGCAATTTTTTCACACGTTCAGCCAGTCATCTGGATGCTTTGTCTATGCAGTGCCAAACAGCTGGGCCACTAGATGTTTTGGCCCTGTGTAGACAGGAATTCAACTTTTTAATAGCTGTTTCTTTTCTCTTCTGAGGTTCTTTTTACCAGCCTTCCAGTACAATGGAGAAGAGAGATATAAAGATTTTTTTTTCCTTTTTGGTTGATGGACTTAATAGAATTGTGTTTGTGTAATCATTGAAAAGTGGACAATGTTGCTGATTACTTTTCTTAGGGTATTCTTATAACCTTAAATTATCAGTTTGATTACTTTTCTGGTGGCATCCACATAATTCTAAATCAGTGGCTGGACTACTTTGCTTTTTCACAGGTAGACCAAATCAACCAAAATAATATGGTGTGTTCATCGTAAATGTTCCAAATTCATTTCGAAAGAATTAGAATTTTAATGCACTTTGCAAAAGCTTAACACAATTGGATGGCTCTTGAAAATAATTTATGAAGATTACATTATCTCTGGACTTTTATTCTTTTAAGATTGTAAGATCCTGTGATGTGATTTTTGAAAACTTTAATAATCAGTGGTAACAATAGCAGCAAGATAGTAAATTCTAAGGGTTTTTATGTCATTTATCTTTCTCCATTCTAGACTGTCATTAAATAATGATGTATTGATTTACACCTTGAAAACTAGTGTTTCCAAACATTATCAAACTAGAAAGACCCTTCCTTCTCCCCCAGATTGTGGGAAATATTAACTTGCTCCTTTTCTTTGTGCTAAGTTGCTGCCATCGTGGGGGAGGAGGGAACATAGCATCAGAGGACAACGAGGAGTGCCAACTCTCAGCCAGTCCCCTCCTCGGTGACAGGCCCAGGGGAAGGAAGGGAGGGTTGAAGAGAGAGGGTGGGTCTAGCCAGGAGATCTATGAGCCAGGATGCTTCCTCTAAGTCGGAAACAGCAATCACAGAACCAAAAGCAGGAGTTAAGCTTGTGAGAGCAGAGCCAGGGTGTGATCAGCAGGTTGAGAGTGGTCGAGAGCCGGTCTTTGGCAAAGATCTGCAATCATTTGAAGCCAAGGCAGCAGAGGGGGTTCAGACTGCTTTCATGTGCTTGACATGTTTCGTGGGAGGCCAGAATATTTAAAGTGCCAGAAAATGTACAACCTTTAACTCAGGGCAAAGTGTCTTCCTTCCCTGTCCATGATTCTGTGTAACAAATGATGCTCACAATGCCCGTGAGGATTTCCCATTGGTAAAAGCAGATATTCAGTCATCTCTGAAGGTCATTTGTCCTCGGTTCCATGACCAAATGATGCCCTTACTGTAGAATTGAAGGTTTCAAAGGATAAGATCTAGGACTTTGGGCTCTCTTATTCATCCCATTTTTGGACATTTCTCAAAGAGGGCATAAACTGGCTCAAATTTGGGAACTGGTTGAGGGGTCATAATTCCTTGTTACCATGACTTGAAGTAGGTTTGTGTTCATTTGCCCTTTAATTTTTTCAATTATATAAATCTAGTAAATTGGGAACACATGGTTGATCAGCCAATGCCATACGTCTAGACGTGTCAGACCATTCTGGACATCGTTCTGCTTCTGTTGTCTATTGCTGCCTTCGGTGATTAAGTGCTGCCACTTGGCCCTCTCTCACTCCAGGATCCAGTCAAGCCATTGCCCTTAAATGTCCCAATTGAGTAACCTCGGTCCCCACTGTAAGGCCTGGCACGCAGAGAAGAGCAATGACAGGGCTCTTCAGGGGTGCCAGTGCTCTCCTCACAAATCTGTTTCTCAAGATGTTAGTGAAGGGTACATTTTCTGGATCACCCCAGTGTGGAGGATTGGGTTTAACATGACAGAACCACTCCAGCATTCTCATTTCCCTGAGCCTCTGGAATCCCCTCATCAACAGAAAACCATGGCATATCGGGCATCTCTAACTCATTCACAGTGGGCCACCTTTTGATCTATATTTCTGCCAGCAAGCCAAATACACTACTAACACCTTTCTTTACTCCACGAGCCACAAGATTAAATTCAGGATCCCTGCTTGACCGGGCCATATCAACAAACTCAGCCTGGTCCAAGTGTATAGTTTTGCCACCATTATCCTACACCTGTAACTTGTTCAGGAGGCCTCTGGTTATAAGAGTTAGAAAACTCAAGAAGTTCTTTGGGAGAACAGCAGACATCCTCCCTCATGGGTCACACTATGGACCTCACCCTTAGGACCCTTCTGACTTGAGCCTGATTACAGGACTAGAGGCAAACGTGGGTGGCGAAGGTGGGTTCTGAGGAGCGTTGGCATTATCATGCTTGGTCAACACAGGCTTAGTGTCCTCAGGTATACTAGGAGAGGCCAGCACCACAAGGGGTAGGGGTGCCTCCACCACTGTCAGTGGGTAAATCTTTTTCTCTTGCAAAATAATCTCATTAGCCTCTAGAAACACAACATCCTCAGCTTCATCAGGATTCCTCTCAAACATCTCTGGGTCTCATTTTATGGGATCCCATTATTTTCCAATCAGTGCCCTCACCTTTGCTTCAGATGCCCTTTGAAGCTGAGCATTAAACTTACACTGCAGTTCAGCCAATTGAATTATGAGGGCCTGTGTTTGAGTTTCTGGAATCTCAGCCCTGCAGCTAAAAAAGAGAGGGGATTTTCTTTCAGGACACGATTAGAAACTTTTAAATTCCCAGCGTCAGACACATAAGAAATTTAAATCTTTGGACTCCTTTATTTTTAATTTGTCCCAGTCAAAAGAATTTAGATTTCCTATGGATGTTTTGAAGTCACTGCTTTCCTTCACTAGTTTGTCCAGAGATGGTAAGACCAACCAGCCAGCATCATTATGTTTCCCACTCTGCCAAAAATGGAGTTGCTAAAAGTGGTAATCAAATCCTACTCAAATCAGGATAATCCAATGGAACTTCACTGCATATTACTTTAAACAGTTTACATCAAGGACTGTCAGTGTTCCCCATAGAATTAGGAGACCATGGCGTCTTTAGGTGTCATCAAATTAGAGCACCAACTCCAGGAACCCCTAAAGCCATTAAAGAATTTCATCTTTACAATTCTGTTTTTCTAGTGCCACTCCCAGTACCAAAATTTGTATCAGTCAGTGTTTACTAGTGAAACAGATATAACACAAGATATACAAATATTTAAGAATTTGCAAGATCGGCTTACAATGACCACCCACAGAGTCGGATGTGGAAGAGTGCAGGGGGTCTGTCTGCACACTGGAGACCGAAGGATTCAGTCGAAGGTCTGGAGCTCACTGCAGTGTTCTGTGTGAGTCTGAATCCGGAGGTCGATGGGTCTGCAGTGGAAGGCTGAAGGCTCTGCACCAGAAGCTGAAGAATCAGCACTGGAAGCCAGGAGATGATGTCCAAGGTGAAGGTGAAGACTAGAGCTCCTCTGAAGAAACAGAAGCAGATCCATCCTTTTTCATTTGCCCTTTACACCATCCAGGCAACAAGTCACCCAAGGTTGGGTCTTCCAACCTTAGGGTGTGGAATTGCTAAGGCAAGTTGAGCTTCTTATATCACAGTGCCCCTTCCTGGTCTCTCTCCATTGGTGTGATAGAATGATGGTGAATAGTTGGCTGTGCTGTGTTAACCCTGATGATGTGAGGAACCATCAGTGCCTGCTCCCTGCATTCCACATCCAACTTCTCCTAAGGGCTAAGCATTGGCAATAATATAAGGTGGGGAGGAGAAGCTGCGTCTTTGGAGCCATTGCATCATAAGTTCCTCTATGAAGGAACTGTGTCCTCTGGTTATCTCCACCATTATGCTACAGAACACTGCCAGGCATTCAGCAGGTGTCTGATTTTTCTCACATGTTCTGGGGCCTTAGGATACTTTGCCATGGTCCTAGACATCCCTGTGTGGTAGTCAAGCAGATTTGTCTTTGTGTCTCTTTTGCCCTCTTTGTGTTTTTCTTCTTCCTCTGGATCATTTCTGAGTAGATGAGCTGGGATCAGTCTAATCACAAGTTGAGTAGTGTTCTAGTTATATATTATTTATACACGTTTCGATAAATTTCCATTATGGATAACATCCTCTATGCATTCAGTGAACTTTCTTAGTGACAGCTTTTTTCTTATGCAACATACCCTGGAACGTGGAGCACTGAACTTGCAGTTTTGTCATGCAATAAAAGGAGTCAGAAAATTAAGAAAAATATGAATGAGAGATGCCCAAGACAGAGTAAAATCCTTTGATAACCAAGGTTCACTCAAATGTTCCCAGCAGCCTTAGCCTAAAGGGAAATATGATGTCTCTAAAGAATTAAAGCTTTTCCGTGGTGCTAAAATATTTTGGAACATTACACCGAGCCTGATATATAGGACCATTAAGTACAATGAATGTCTTCATTGGACTGTGTAGAAAGCACATCCATCATGATATGTATTTCTCTAGAAACCATGGGCGTTAGCTTTGGTCAGCTAGTGAGAGTTTCTGGTAGGTGAGATCCTATCATGCCTCTAAACAAAGCCCAGTTCTTCTTATGGCAGTTGCCAGGGCAACAGCAACAGCACCAGAAGTGAAGGTGAGATTTCTCTGGGCAAAGAATGGAAGTCCCAAAAGCAGAGGGTTAAGTAACTGTAGGAAGTTTCCCATCCTGGTGCAGAGGCAAAACCTGAGCTAAATGAGGCTAACTCCTAGACTTAGGTGCTTAGCGGTTAGGACTTCCCTCGGCCTCCAACATGCAGCTATGCAAGTCCCAGGGTATTCATGCCTAGAGAGAGGGGGGAAATGGCAGTGTACCACCCAATCCAGCAGGTGGTCATCTGGCAAAACAACTAAAGTTGGTCAACATTTGGTGACTATGAGTCAATTTTCCACACAAGAATAATAAGCCTCTGCATTAAACTCTTTCTGGACCAATCTGTTCCCCTCTTTTTCCTCTATTTGGAACACATGCCCCCAGCAAACCATTGTCCCCAGACTCCTCAGTAGTCACCACACGAGGATTGTCACTGAGATACAGATCATGTATCTCGTGAATCTGTCTTAACTGTTATGTATAGGCAATTTATATTTAATGGAACTGTTAATATGCTTGGATTTAGGTCTACCATTTTATTATGTTTTGTTTTTCCCTCGGTTTTTCTCCCTTACATTCCTGCCTTGTTTTGGATTATTTGAATAATTTATCTATTCACTTTTTGGCTATATCTTGTGACTGGTCTAGAGATTACACACCCAATCTATATCTTGTGACTGGTCTAGAGATTACACACCCAATCTTTCACTTGAGTTAATATTTTACTTCATGTAAGATATAGGATGCGGGTACTTTAACAGAATCAAGTCAACATATGTATTACCTGTATCCCTCCCCCCCAATAAGATCTAATGGGAAAATAATCAGTCTTGAAAACTGGAGATCAAAAATGCCAGTCCCAATCAGCCTATCCTTGCTTTACCTTCCATCGCCATACTCTTGCTCAGTGGCTGCTCTGTAAGGCAGGACTGAACTAATAGAGTATGCATTCTGACTACTGTGGAATTCAATTTGAATTATTTAAAGAGGACTAGAAAAATTCCCAAATATTTAGAAATTAATCCACACAACTAATCATTTTGCCATGGTTTTAATGATGATGCATCTTTGGAAATGTAATAGCACTGTTAGTTAATAGTTTGTTAAGCAACTACTGTATGACAGGCAACAACGCACAGTGCACGCTCTCTCCTGCCAGTTATTCAATCTGCAAGCAAACAATTACTCAACAACTGTCATGTGCCTCTTTTCTGGCTCCAAATATAGTGTAGAACAATAGACGTTTGCTTTGTGGGGCTTTCTAAGCTTCTTGGAGATACAAGACAGGACACATGTAATATGTAAAAAGTCACAGTCCCTATGGGGTAAAGTAAAGCTGTAGGTGACAAAGCACTGGGGGTAGGACAGGGCATGTTAGCTCAGATATAGCCAGGAGCAGCTTTTGGAGAAGGTAGCTATTGAGCAGAGACCCTGAAGAGGGAAGGCAGCAACTGAGGAAATATATTCCGGGCAGGCATATTGGGTCCCTGAGACAAGGCAGCGGTGGGTGTGGAGCAGCAGCACGGTGTCCAGAGTAGCTGGGGCAGGAGATGGGTTGGGAATGACAGCCAAGCATCTTAAGGGCCGGGCCGCAAGAAAATGTCCCAGTCCTCTGTTGTAGGGAGTACTTGGATGGGGTCAAGTTTGGTGTTTGTATTAAAGGGTTCTCATTGCCTGGTCTGAAATGAACTAGGGATCCAGCGAAGCCCAAGAGGAAGCTCTTATGGTCATCCTGGTGAGGTCAATGGTGGCCTACGCCTGGCCAGTGATGGGGAGAAGTGATCAGATATAGGCAGAACCCTCATTTTGAAGGTGGATTGGACACGGCGGGGTGAAAGAAGCAATCTTAGTCTGCCTTCATTCCTTAGCTTCTTCATTTTCCATTTATTTACCCAACAAAGGGTTACTGAGCAGCTTCTCGGAGCCAGCTGAGCCAGGCCTTGAGATAAGACTGCAAGCAGAATCCAGATGGCCTCCTTGTTCTTGCCCTCAGGATAGAGAGGACAATGGGGAAGAGCTCAGTAAGTCAAATAAAAAAATGCAACATAAGGAATTTCTTCTGGGATGAACGCTCTAAGGGAGAGTTGCTGAGAACTGGCAGAGACAAAGAAGGGGAGTAATTGGGGAGGGAAAAGGATGTTCTGGAAAGAAGAGGTGCTTGTGTTAGAGCAGTTATCCTGCTGCAGAAGGCAGCTGGAGCAGAGGTGCTGAGGAGGTGCTGAGGAGGTCCAGTGCCTGTCACAGAGGACCTCAATGGCTTCACCACAAACCACAGGAAGGGCTTCTGTCCCTGTCCCCTGAGAGGAATGGGATTCATTGGAATGTTTTAGACAGTGACGGGAACAGATGCTTTGGTAGGAAATGGTTTGCAAAGAGGTTGTCAGGACTGGTGTTGACAGGCACCCACTGCTGCACTTGTCCCTGGCCTCTCAGGTCATTGCCTTCTCCCATTTCTGACTGCCTGCCCTGACATCTGTGTAACTTAACTTTCCACAATGGAGAAGGGCCAAAGGACCTCTCTCTCTATTTTGCTCTGTGTCAACTTGAGTAAGAGAAGCTCAACTAAATTGCCTCAGCAATTTCATACCCTAGGGGGACTTGTTGCCTGGATGGTATAAAGGAGAAATGACGAGGGATGGATTTGCTTCTGTTTCTTCAGAGGAGCTCTAGTCTTCATCTTCACCTTGGATGTTATCTCCTGGCTTCCAGGTCAGACTCTTTAGGGTCTGGTGCAGAGCCTTCAGCCTTCTGGTGTATATTCTTCTGCCTTCCATCGAAGACCAACTGGCTTCCTAATACTGACTTCAATGGGACACTGCAGTGAACTCCAGATCTTTGACTGAATCCTTCGGTCTCCAGTGTGTGGGGCCGTTGCTGTGGCTATACTTGACCATGTGGTTTAGGAGCCTTTGGAGCTGGCTTGTGGGAAGGGGAAGAGTTAGGAAAGGTTTGCAGATGGCTGAAAACAGAGCTGGAATGCCTGAGGCTGTACTTGATGGGAGATTCTGGCCAGAGCTCAGAAGACCAGAATTCGGATAGAAACAGGCTTAGGAGGTTTCTGCTGGGAAGAAGGCACTCCAGATGATGTGGGTTATGCCTTGGGAGAAGGTTTGTCTGCATTTTTCTGTTGTCCAGAGACTTTGCCTGAAACAGATTTAGGGTGGCGGACTAACTAATCTGGCAGAAGAAATTTCACGGCAGTCTAATGAGGCTGTGGCATGGCTACTGTTGGGGGTTTTTAGCCCAATTTACGTTGAGAATCAAGAGCAAAGAGCCCAGCAGAATGACTTAAAATGTTAGCCCAGAAAGGAAGCTCCAGTAAAATTTCAGCCTGCAAAGATGAACAGAAGAGAAATTAGTTGCTGAAAAAGATTAGCAAGAAAAGTCAAGTATTTCAGAAGATGACAGAAAAGTTGGCCTAAGGGCAGCATAAGAAGCAGGAGGACTCCACCCTTTGCAGCATCAAAGTTGCAAAAGTGAGACTCTTTTGAGAAGAGAGACCCAGAGCTCATGTTCCAGAATGGCAGCAGTCTAGGAAAATTGCTCCTCGGGATTTGGCTCATAGGTACTGGACCCCTAAGCCTGGCTACTGCTCCAGCTGGACCTTGGCTCATCCACATGGTGCTGGTTTTAGAGGCATGCAGAATGCAAGAGTTGTGGGGTCAGCAAGGCTTCCACCCAGATTTCAGGAAAAGGCCTGGGAGGCCAAGCAGTGTGCCTCTGAGGGTGCAGTGTGTGAAGCCATAGGTGCAGGAAACCAGGAATGTGGATCATCTAAGGAAAGCTGCACGGAGTGAGCAAAGCCAGCCAAAGAAAGAAGCCAGAGAGCAATAACAAGCAGCAGTGCCACAGGGGCAGACGCACCCAAGCCCTTTGGAGTTCACAACTTGCCAGACTGCCTCGGACGCTGGAAGTGAACTGTGGGATTTAATGTTTGCCCTGCTGGATTTTGGTCTTGCTTTGTTCCCATTCCTTGCTATCCCCCTTTGTAACTTTTGGAATGGAAATGTCTATCTTGTGCCCTTGAATGTTGGACACGTTTAACTTTCTTTTCACTTGTACCAGGGCTTGCAGTTAAGAGTTTGCCTGAAATCTCAGAGGAGACTTTGGACTTGAACTTTTCAGCAATGCTGAAGTTGTTAGGACTTTGGCAACTCTTGGAGATGGACTAAATGCCTTTTGCATAAAGGGATATGCATGAGTCCTCGGGGGTCCAGGGCTGGAATGTTATGGCTTGCGTTTAGATATCACCCCAAAGCTTCATACGGTCATAGGTGGGGCTTTTCAGAGGTGGCTGGATCTAGACTGTGTGATGCTGGGATTGATTCATGGTGCAAAGCTAGGCTCAAGAGCACTAGGATTAAGGGTGTGAGTGCTACCGCCCTAAGTAGCCTGGATAAGATATAAGGGATAGAAAGAGCTGTGGTCATCCCTGTTGCTGTTACCTTCTACCTGCCATGAACTGTTTCTTCTCTGTGATGCTTGTCTGTCATGCCACCCTGCCTTGGAGCCAGCCGATTATAGACTGAAACCTCTACATACTGTGAGTGAAATAAATCTTTCCTCCTTTAACTTTGGGTGTTGGGTATTTTGTCTCAGCAATGAGAAAAGTAACTAAGACACTTAGGCTTCTCATATAAGAGAAATGATGCCATATTTAAGGCTTATGTGTTTGATTGACTGTATTTTACCAAATATTATAGTCTTATGGTACACATCCATTTTCCTACAAATGACTCAAGTTTATCCTTTATGGCAGAGTAGTACAGTGGACCCTCAAAAGTTACAACCAGCCTGACATACAAAAAACTTGGGTTAATTAGGTTAATGGAAGATTCATCTGCCTGTTATCTATAGCGTATACCCAGGTAAAAATCCAGATCTCAGCTATATTGACTTACAACCAGCCCTTGGGAACCAATTGAGTTCATAAATTAATAATCCACTCTACTTCATTGTGTATCAATACATTTTCCTTACCCATTCATCTGTTGATGAACATATAGGCTGCTTCCAAGATTTAGCTACTGTGAGCTATGGTGCTGTAATCATGGGTGTGTATATATCACTGTAGTATGATGACTCTCTCTGGAAGATGCTTAGAAGGGAAATAACTGAGTGGAATGGAATTTCAAGTTTCAGTTTTTTGAGGAATCTCCATGCTGACTTCCATTAGTGGTTGTACCAGTTTACATTCTCACCAACAGTGTAGGAAGAATTCCTTTACCACCACCCCCCATCAGCATTTGTTATTGATTTATTGATGATGGCCATTCTTTCTGGGGCAAGATGGAATATCAATATTATTTTAATTTGTATTCCCTCTAATGGCCAGATACGTTGAACTCTTTCGGCTATTTTTACTCCTTCTAAGAGGTTCTATTCGGTTCATTTTTTTGGTTTGTTTTTGGTTTTTTGGTACCAGGGATCTAACTCGGGACCTTGTGCTTGCGAGGCAGGCAGTGGAACCACTGAGATAAATCCCTGGCTCCAGTTTCTCATTTTGTCACAGCCTTATACTTAAGTCATATCTCTGAGTGTCATCTCTTCTCCTGGCCTGTTTCCAGTTCCTGGGGTTCCCCATCCACCCTGGGGAACACACACAGAGCTCCAGCCACACTGCAGGCCCTTCACTGTCCTATCCAGCTGCTCCTGTGCCATCTCCTCCAGGAAGGGCAATCCCCAAGCATGTGCTGTTCTTGTGTCCTTCGCAGAAGCAGCAGCACAGAATTTGGCACATGGTACAGGTCCTGCCCTAGGCCATGGGAACTTGAGGAGCTTCACCAATGGTAGGAATTATTTCTAGGGAAAACAGGTGTCACAAGAGCATAGGATCTGGTGACAGGTGAGTGGCGTCCCCTGGCAGGCTGGCTCCTCCATTTCATTCTTGCAATGTGGGTCACCTCTTCTGATGTCCTTGCTGGGAGCTACACAAAGTCAGTTGTGAAAGTGATGGTTTCCTTCCTGTTCTTTGGAGCATGTCTCTCACCATCAGGGCCAAAGGTGGGTGGGTAAGGCCTCTTCTGCACTGTTTTTGGATTCTCTTAAGACCTGAGAAAGGGAGAGGAAAAGTTAAAATAGGGGCTAAATGGAAAAATGAGGATCTCAAACAGGAAACTTGATGTGCTGTGGGGTTTCATTTCTCATGTGCAAAGCACATTTTCTCCAACCTATCATTTCTGAAATAAATGAGCCATGATCATTTAATGCGAATGCATCCCAGACCTGAGTTGGGCCCTTGTAATTTGGAATCAAAAATGACTGACGGGTTGACGGAAAAGTTCTGCCAATAAATTACATACATCCTGTTAGTTCAGTCTCATACCTAAAAATATCTTGAATCTAAAGAGAAGCTGGCAGAGGCTATAGATTGACAAAAAAAAATTCAACCATAAAACCTAAGCAAAATTATATCCACATTCCCCAAGCTGTAGTTAAAATTAATTTGTTTTGAGACCAAAGTCAAATATGCCAGTACATCGTGTAATTCATTGAATTTGGTACAATGTTAATTTAAACTAGATTTTTAGCACTGTGTAGACTCAGCATCCAGATTGGATTTGGGTATGGTTTTCAATGGGAGCCCCGGGTATTACTCTTAGGGGTGGGGTGCATGTAAATCCATGAAGTGTTTGTTTCAGGAAGAAGCTAGGTGATAGGAATAAAGATAGTGGGCTCTAGTTCTAGACTGTCAAATTTGCTTACTTGCTTCAGTTTTTTCCATTTAAAAAGGCAGGTCCTTTTATAATTCCTGCCATAACAGACTGCTTATTGCCATGTAGCTGAAATCATTTCCACACAATTAGAGAAGGTACAGACTCCCCACAGGAAGTGATTTGGAGCCTTAGAGCTTCTCAGATAGCTCTTTGGAATCTTCTTCCGCTTCCTAGTAGAAAACCAGTGCCTGGTTGCAAAGGAGCCAGAGGTGTGCATGACCTGGGCTGAAATACGGACACCACTCCTCAGCTACTGTTCACCATCTTTGTTGCCAGTGGGGTCAGATAAAGCTAAATAATTTGTCTAACCTGATCCCCTTTTTCCCTACCTTGAGGGAATACGCCTATAAGCTCACTGTAAACACAATTATGCCGTGCGAGGCTCTCATTAATCTAGTACAAACCACAGCCTGACATCCACTGGGCAGCATTTGCTCCATTTTTTTCTTAGCTCGTTTTCAGCGCCAACGTATCCTCACACTTCCTACCCAGAGGTGGTTATTTGCACAGCGTGATGTTGGGGGAAGACAGAATGGACCACAGCCAAGATTTGCCATTGCAAAAATGGTGCCCAGGACCCAGAGACAGTCGTGGATTATTAGGACAGGCTTTCAGAGGACTGACTCCAAGTTCATTTTGAAGAGCTGAAAACCCTGCCCTAATACTAAATAGGGGACTGAGTCCAGAGGCCATGTAGCCAGTGGTTTGTGTTCATTCATTTAGCATTTATTAGACACCCACACTTTATGCTAATTCCAAACTAGACATAGGGCTGCTATGGTGGACCAGAGGGATGTGATATCTACACCTTGAGAGCAGAGTCTACTGGCTTTGGCCTGGAGTTCTATCACACGTCCTTGTAGGTTCAGACATTAGCTAGGGACAGCCACAGCTCTAGGCTCAGGAAAAACCCATTTATCAAATTCTTTCAAACCATAACAGCAAAGATATTAACATTTAATCTCAACGCATGAATATTTATGTACATAGATATAAGATACATATGTATATAACAAAAGTATTACTACATATAAAAAGAGTTCCAGAAACAATATTTATGTTTATCAAAGTATGATGCACTCTGATCTTCTCTCTCTCTCTGCTTTGACCACCTGCTATTGAAGGTGTAGGTTTGGTTTGTAGCTGAGTCTTCCCTGGAGCTTAGGATGTGGTGACTTTGGTAGAAATGTGATTAAATGAAGCTTTTCAAAGAGTTGAATTGTGGTGTGGAGGATGAAGAGCCAGCTGCTCTTGCTTGATTGAGGGGCTGGAGCCCAAGCCAGAGAAAGCGAGCTTAAATGGTGATGGCTGAGATTAAGTGTGGACAGAGAGGTTAGTGGCCAAAGTTGCCAACTGACATTGAGAAAACTGCCCTGGGAAATGAAAGCAGGGGAGGGATGACAGTCCAGCACAGACCTAAAGCAAGGCCTCCTAGGGTCTTTTGGGGAGAAGGGGCTGGGCTCACTATCTAGAGTGGAACCAAACACACCCCAAAGGAACAGGGTGTGTATACAAAAGTCTAGGGACTCATGGGTCAGGCCTTGGGAAGGACCCTCCGTCTCCGGAATCCAGAATCCAGGCCCACTTCAGCTGCCTTTCTCCGGGGATTACAGAGGCGATGGGGAGAGGGGCATCATGCATGGTGGCACCTCGAGTTCCCCGTGCTTTCTGCAGAGGAAGTGGGGATGTTGATCTGGAGAGGAAAAGCCCAGGGAGACTCCTCTAGATATTCAAAAAAGCACCCCTTGGGGGAAGGAATAGATGTCATGTGATTCTTTGGATGGCAGAACTAGAATCATTAGGTAACAGGAACAGGAAGGCAGAACTTTGAGGAGTAGACCCTGTGAGATCCAAATGCCTAGAATTGCTCTGGAAAAGGGTGGATCCATTTGCATCCACTGACCTTTCACGAATTCCTCATTGTACAGCATGCCAGTGTATTATTCTTGAGGATCTCATAAGAATATTATACACTGATTAAGAAATACAATTTAGTAACTTGAATTTCTTCCAGTTCCAAGATCTTGCTCAAGGATACCAGGGGCCTCAACTTAGGAAGAAGATCTGATAGACCAAGGACACAGACAGGAGCCTCAGCTTATTTTATGTAGGGAACCCCACGGCCAAGAGCTGATCTCTCCAGGTTCCCCACTATTCACAGGAAGAAGTCCAGTTCCTCAGTCATTGTGACACCCTACACCTCACTGCTGCCCCTAAATGGTGTTTCTCTAGGTCCTGCCCCAGCTGCTCTTCCTATCTGGTGCTAGTGTCTGTGCTGACTTTCTGGAACTCACTCTCTCTGCCTCTCCACTGTGGCCCTCATGCCCACCATCCAAAACTTTCTCCATGGAGCCTTCCCTGACTGCCAGGACCACGTTCTATCCTGCTGCCTATCGCACACCTGTCTGTGGTTGTCATTTGGGATTTCTTACACTGTCTGAGGGGATCTCCTGGGTAGATGGTTAACTATGGGCACCGGTGTAATAATTCCCCTTACCAGCTGGATGGCAGTCTTCTGGGGGGCAGAGACCACACACTCTGCGGTTATGCCCTATTGCCACAGAGAGAGTTTGCTTTCAGTTCATCTGACTTTGGCTGCCAGTGAACTAGACCTTTCTCTGCCCAATCTCTTCACAACAACACTGTCCCAGGTCAAACCTCTTATTTATATGAAAAAAAGTCTCACAGGTAACAATGATGGAAACATTTCAAGGTGCTTATGGCAGGGGCTCATGGCCTTTGAACCATAAATGTTTCTATTTTTATTTACAAGTATCTAGATAGCATTTACCATGTGCCACGCACCAGCCCCTGGGGTCCATTAGCCCTTCGAAAAGCATACACTGTCTCATTTCCTTCTTTCCTTCCTTTTTTTGAGACAGGGTCTCACTATGTAGTTCAAGCAGGCTTTGAACTCACTGTGGAGCCCAGGTTAGGCTTGAACTCATGGTAATTGTGTGTCACCACAGCCGGCTCCTCCTCATTTTGTCACATCTCCTTGGTTTGTCACTGTGTGGCAGTCATTCACTGACCCCAGTTCTGTGTCCCAGCAAAGATCTAGAGCTCTGGGAGGATTGTAGGGTCTTTTGTTTTCTTGTGGGCTTGTAGTTGCCTGGAATGAGCCACCCGTCTCCAAGGTCTCCAACAAGACTGCTAGTATTTTTCTGCAGCCCATTTCTTTCCAGCACTCTTTGCTTGTTCTGCCTTGCAGTCTGCTCTGCTGCTTAAGCCATTTAAAGGGCTGTGGCGTGAAGCCCCTTCCTCGTAGTTCTTCATGCAGTGGGGTAAAGGGTGGACCCTTAAGGATGTTCTCAGAAGGAATACAGTATTGCTTCTTGGAGGCCTGTCCCGCACACGGAAATGTGGTGTGACGTCTGGTCACATCAGAGAGAAGCCATTTCCTTCCACACTCGGAGTGTAAGGGGGAGTGTTATTAAACTCTTGCCTTGTATGACGCTCATCTTCCCTACCTCATTCCACATGCATGCACACCTCACAATCTACTCTGCATTTCCAAACATCTGATGGAACTGTACATTAAAAGTTAGTGTAAGACTGAAATTCTACCATCTCAAAAACAAAAATCAAAACCCCAGTTTCTGAAAACAATACTTTTCTTAAACCAATAGATGGAAGAGGATAGAATTCAGGGATTTGGGTGTTGTGACCCGAGTTGGTAATTTTTACATTTTTACAGATGAGGAAACTGAGCCCCAGGAAGGTGAAATCATTCACCTGAGGCCACACAGTTCATTCATGATTGAACTGGACTGAAGATTTCCCATCTTTGGGGTCCTGGTGGTTAATCTTCACTGGAGATGGCAAATCTCAATAGTACACGAATAGCCATTTTCCTCCACACACTTGGACATGCTGATGAAAATTTAGTTAACTGCTGTTTTATTTGGATGTACTCACCCTGGGATTTTTGAAATTGATTGGCCCTGACTGCTTGCTGGTATCACAAATAGGCTGAAATTATTCTATTGTTATTCAAATTGCATGCTTTCCTAAAAGGCTTATTAGATGCAAAAACTTGGAAAACCAAATAGGTTAGAGCTTTCAAAAGTTGTTTTCTAAAGAAAAGAAAGAACATTTTCTAGATGACAAAAAATGTAATATGATTATTAGGAGTTGATCTTATGCATCCAATCGGAACATTGGAGGCACGGAGAGGGCTCATAGGAGATTTGTTTGCCAACTCTTTCAACGAATCCATGCAATTAGATTTGTTTCACCAGACATCGATTGCTGAATATCTACAAAGCAATGTTCAAGCAGGAACATTGGATGGATCTAAAGGAGCACAAAACCTATTTGTTAATAGGGCAGAGTTCTCCAGAACATGCTTCAGGTTTGAGAATACAACCCTCCTCCACATGAAACCGACTCTTTGGTCAAAGATAGAGGAGGAGCTACCTTCTCTCCTTCAATCAAGTTCTTAAATGTACACTTTTTAACCTTTATTGAGTCCACTTATAATATCGGTTGGATTCTTTTGATAGAACAAATTTCATGTGGATAAACACTATACACCTGTGATGGTTCCTTTGCACACATGTTGCTTATTGAATAAGTAGAATATGATTTTTGTTAGTCCCCAAAACTGTTTTCTCTAAACTCCTATGAAGGGAGGGCAGAAAGGAGTCATTCGGGAAAGCCCAGAGCCACCTTGTGTTGTCCCCGTTCTGTATTTTACAGATATTTTATAGATACCGGTAGTATCCTTCCCAGGTGTTCCTGATTAAAGAATCTTCTGTCACTTTAAGCTATTTCAACTCTCCCTGTTTGATATATTTTACTTTGTTACTCCCCCTTCTCTTATTCCAATCTTTTGCTCTGTTTTTCTCTTTGTTTCCTGGGTTGCTTTGCCCAGCTCATTATGCTTCAGGGGATGGAGAATGAGAACATGCAAGTTACCACAGTGGGACTGCCAGGACTCAGGAGGTGGAGGAAGTATGTGCATTCTCAGAAGCAGACGACGCCCCTGGAGTCTCATCAGCCTTTGGCCCTGGCTGTAACCTGGACGATGTCCACTGGGAGCAGCCTGTGGGCCCCCTGCATTCCTCTCTGGTGACCAGTTGCTGGTGGGGATGCCAGCTGCTCATGGGCCTGCTAGATGCCAAATGTTTCTTTCTGTAGTGGTTGTTAGGCTTTCAGAAATGCTGATATATTTTGGCTTACTTCCCCTTCCACTTCCCACACCTGTTGGTTGTCTGATTAGGTGAACAAATAAATTGCCCCAATTTCCTCTTCTACCAATGGAATCTTTCCAAATCCGTCTGACAGGACTCCTGAATCCAAGGCTTACATTCGTCTCGCTGGAATCTGGGTCTGTTGCAGTGGGAGGCACCCTCAGCATCTAGGTTATGCTGCCAATTACTTTTCATCATAGTTGAGGAAGCCTTTTTACAAACCAAAGTTTAAATCTTAGATGCTCACTGCAGTTGCATTATGTTGGCATCTGAATGGATTTGAGAGGGAGACCCAGCCTGCCACTTGTCTGAATGAGGGTGCACCCAGACATGTGTAAGATGGAAGAGGTGATTCTGCTTTCTCCTTGCTCAGTTTCGGCATCTTTTACTCTTCATACTGTATATTTGTGTGATTTGGGGTTTAAGAGGAATTTTTATTCTGTGCCATTTTCCTTTGTGAACCAATTCTAGGATCTTGCAAGTATGGCTGCTTGGATTAAATTCGGGACAAGGACAAACACATCCTGTCCTTGTTTCTTACCCTCTTTCCCCCCAATTCAGGTTCCCAGGAGCATGGTTTTTAAGTCAGGGAACTAGGTTACTTCCACTCCATGCACATCGGAACCTAGGATCTGGAAACTGGCACTAGGGTGGGTAGTCAAGGTCACACAGCTGGTTAGTAAGAGCAAACAACTGAATTTCTACTCCTGAGACCACAGGCCATTGCCCTGGAAAGAGCATATTGGCTTCCTCTTCCTTCTTTTGGTTCCAAATCTCTTCTAGCACCTTATAAATATTTATTGTCCATGTCTGGTGCCACTTAGTTCAAGCTGAGCACAGATTTCCTAAGGATCTGTTGCCAACGATCACCTCTGGAACTCTACCCATTCCTACTGGAGTCTAAAGTTCACGCCCACCCTTACATTTCCATCATCACATGTATGGAAGCTTACATTGTCCTTGCTACCCATTTCTGTGGGGCAAGGGCTCTAGAACCACGTGAACCTGGATGGAGTCTGTCTAGAGTAATCCTGGAATTCATTAACTATCACTAACCACTGCTGGAGATGCGTTTACAAGGGACCTGGCATTATAAAAATTCTATTCGTCAACTCTTACCAGCAAGTCCTGAGGTAGGTAGTGTTTTCCATCTTCCAAATGAGGGAGTGCAGGTCCAGGGCACCACACAGTCAGGGGCTGGAATGGATGCCTGATCGGTCTGCTCTGCAGCCTGTGCTTCAGACTTTGAGGCTCTTCTGACTCATGGTCATTTGGAACCAGGGCATCTCTACACCATCCACAGCTCCGTTCATGGTATGAACTATTTGTCATATGACTCGAATAGTCAGGGGAAGGTATGGGGTGGGCTGCCACTTTACGAAGCCACCTAAAATGATTTTACCTTCAGTTTATAAGGAGAACTTTATGGATGAACTTGGTCATCCAATTCTGAAATCCTAGGGGAAGCAGGCAGTTTGGAACTTGAGGTAAGTTTAGGGAAAACAAGGAAATAATACTTCTCTCCTAGCACGTAATAAAGTTATGGAACTCATTACCTTGAGAGGCTGTGCAGACAGGAAATGTAAATGGATTAAAAAGAGTTCGGACAAATTTATGAATGACAGAGTCATAAAAGGCTTCTAACAGAAGCTGGAATATATGAGGTGTGACTATAAAGTAATGAAAATCTTTTTTAGAAAATAAAAAACCAGGAGATGTGTATCCCAATAAATATGTCTTTTTCTCTCAGAATAAGTGCCTTGGGAGAAGACCGATTCTTACTTATTTTAATATTATTTATGGAAAACATTTTTGGAATCCATAGAAATTGAAGATTAAACCCTACCCCAATTTTATAGATGAGGAAACTGAAACTTACAGTGATGTAGTAACTTGTTCACAGGTGCCCAGAATCAGTTGTGGGTCAGAACCTGGTCACCTGTGTCACATGCTCTTCCCTGCCATGTGCAGTCTTCTGCTTTAAATTTCTTCAGAGTCTATGGCAAATTCTTTTGGATACCCTAACATGGTAAATCCTTACCTTTTGTCAACATGAAACTGCCTGGATGGATTTAGATTTAACTCTGGATAAGTGTTTATGCTGTATACGAATTTGTTCAAAACTTGAGCAGTTTTTTACTCAGAGGAAGAACCAATAAAACCGGACTTGTTTTGCTGGGTTTCCTGGGTCCTCCTCTTCCACTGGAGGTAGAGGGGGACCATTTTGGAGCTTTCAGAATTCCCTCCCAGGCACCCTGCAGAACTAATGCCAACAGCTCAAAGACGGTTTGAATAATAAAAAGGAGACAAGAGAGCTGACATAGCAGGGTTCAAACCAGAGCAGAGACAGAACAGAGCAAAGAACAAGAGAACTGCAGAGGCTCAGATGAAAAAGCAGAGAGAAGGATCCAATCCCTTCAGAGGCAACAAATATGGGGACCAGGATGGATCTCATCAACATCTGACCATAGACATAGCTCACTGGGAGCTTGGTGGTTTGTATCCATTCATGCCCTGCCTGTTGAATTCACTTTGATCACCAAATATCCTTTTTATTTGGATTTCTAAGAAAAATAATGGGGAGGTAAGTGATGGAGGGGAAGATCTGCACAGAGAAACCCCAAAGTCCATGAAGTGCATCTGCTCACTTTTTGCTTAGGCTTGGAAACCGCTTCCTCTTATGGATTTACAGCCTTGAACCAAAGCTAACAAGGAAAAGACAAACATGTCACCAAAAGGAACATGTTGACATGTGTTGATGTCTCTGCCAGACTTTATAACACAACCCAGAAGGAACCCTGGGAGCTGGCTGTCCTGCCGTGCGTGCTGGTTGACGGTGTGGTTCTGGGGAACTCTGGGAGGGGGATACCCTGGAGAGGTCTGGGCCAACAAGGACAGCTGGAAACAGTGGCTCTCTAGCCTATAACTGTCGAGGTTAAATAAGTTGACTTTTGTTCTTATGATTTTTGAAAGTCATGTACCTGAAGACCTGGATGGGACAGAACTGAAAAAGCATGGTTATCAGATTTGGCAAAAATTTGTGGAGCAGAATCAGTAGGAAGAGAGGATATGCATCTACATGTGTTTGTAGACACACATACACATGTACAGGCACACACATGTGTGCGCAGGCTGATAACACTTCTATAGGCATCCATGAGTCATACACTTCCTTCGGGGGCTTGGTGGGGATGGAGAGGGTGTGTGGTCCTATTCTGTGTAGAAGCACAGATGGGTGCACCTGCTGCTTCACACCCACAACAGAATGATCATGTCCTTTTGGGCTAAGAAAGGGGGCAGGGAGGGTTGAGCCTTAGCCGTAGGTGTGAAGTTACTAATAGTCGGAAGCTGCTTATTCTAAAACATCTCCAAGTCTCCTTAATCCCACCGGGCTTCATCCCAGCCCCGCAGAGCCATGTAGAATTGACAGCTACAGAGGTTCAAAAAGGGACCCCAGAATGCTATTTTGAAAAAGACCTTAATTTCTTGGGGGACCCCGTTGCTCTCCTGAAACGAGTAGATGACAGTCATTTCTACCTTGGGTAGAGGCTGCTGGCAGTGTTGCTACCTAGGGCAGCAGCATCCTCGGGGTACAATTGGGGGCCATGGCTTACTCTGCAGTGTTGTGAAGGTACAGGGGGTTGTGGAGCTTTGGTGTTTTTACTCAGGAACGGACAGCTTTCTTACTCTTGCTTATCTGTGTTACTGATCCAACAGGCTGGACTGGCTTTTCTTATTCCTCCAGTCTTTGGCAGAAGTGGCTCCAGATCCGTGGTGGGCAAGGCCATGTGTGTGTCATAACCAGGCCATGGTGGGCCCAAAGATGGTGGAGTCCAAAGTGGGGGCACACAGCCAGCAGGCCCATCTCCACCCAAACCTCTGGCTCTGGCCACTAGTGTCTAAGCTTGGGTTAGAGCAAACCTCTTTGAAAGGTGGCAAGTTTTACTGAAGAAAACTCATTCGTTTTCAAATTAGAACACATGTTCCAAATTGAAAAAAATACCTTGCAACTAGGAAATAGAAGACAAGCAATGCCTGTCAGACCTTGAGGGGCAAAGAAAACACTATCATTTGAGCCATGAGCAACCTGAGGGCCAGGACAGGAGGTGCTGGCTGGTTCTGGCAGCCTCCTGGGTTTTCACCTAAGGGACTGATGAGTAACCTCAGATGCTTATTACTCCCTGGCAAACTAAACATCCTTGCCCCTATCCTGAGACCATTTCTCAAAGGTTGAAGGGAGAGTTAATCCTGGCTTACTGTAGCTGTCTTGAGTTTAGATGGAAGAAATCTCTTAGCTTCAAATAGAAATTTCAGAAATAAAGAGCAAGGAGGGGGGAAAGTAAAACAAAAAATCAGGGCTTTGGCAGGAGCCTGAGGGGGAAATGTCCAATGTGAAGAGGCCCCAAAGCTGGGCCAGGCCCCTCTCTGTGGCTCCACCCCAGGCCTCAGTGCCTCAACCTGGGGGGCTTCCCCATACCCTAACCCACAGATCCTAACCCCATTATTCCCAGTAACTTCAAAGGAAATGGAAAGCAGGAAACCACCCCTGAGATTCATCTACTTGATCTTTGTCTCATGCTTCAAAAAGGCAGCATCTGCCCCTTTAAAATCCAGGTGCTTGGGGAAAATATACCTGCCAGAGAATAAGAATCATTTTCTCCAGCCCTTCTTCAGGCCAGCCCCAGAGTCTGCCCCTAGGAGGAGGGCAGGGCAGCAGGCACAAGTGTGACCAGCCAGTGTGCTTTGGGGCCCCAGCTCCACCACCGCCTGGTCCCTCCATCTGCAGATGGGATTGGTCGTGGGGAACGTGACAGTTATGCTTGGCATTTTGGTAGCCACTCTGGAGATTTTGGCATCTATACTAAATTCCATGACATTAAAAGAAAACGTTAGCTTTAAGATGTGCAGTGTGGGGCTGGGGACTTAGCTCAGTGGTGCCGTTGCCTGCCTCAAAAGGTCCCAAGTTCAATCCCTGGTACCAAAAAAGTACATGCAGTGTGATCAAAAAATGTGGCTAATATGCAAATTTTAAAAAGCATTACAGCAAAGACATATTGCTATTAATCCCCCTCACAATATGTCACTTTGCTTCAAACACACTTGTCCTACTGTTCTGAAGCAGGTCTGAAGTCCTCTTTCCTGGGTGTCTTTAGTTGGCTGTTGTGGCTGCTTCCACATCCTGAATCTTTTTCAAAACGTTTTCCTTTCATGGTCATTTTGACTTTAGAAAAGAGCCAGAAGCTGCACAGTGCCAGATCTAGTGAAGAAGATGGGTGAGGACACAGCATAATGTATTTTTTGTGAGCCTATCTTTCTGTTGGATAGCATTCAGCACCAGCATTCATTGAGTTTTTTGGGGGGGCACTGGGGATCAAACTCATGACCTTGTACTTGCAAAGCAGGAGCTGGAACCACTGAGCTAAATCCCCGGCCCCACACTATTTTTTTTTAATCACACCTGATAAAGTCACTCGGGAAAGAGGACTTCCAGAACCACTTCAGAAAGTGGCAAGAATGATAAGTGTTCAAAGCTGGGGGGTGGTATTTTTCTGTAAGTGTTTTTTAACCTTTTACTAATACATGTTTGCAGTACCTAATGGTCACATTCCCCACGTAGAGTTGGGACACGTACACAACACATCTTAATTTTTTTTTTAATCTTCCCTCCTCACATTGCTTGGTCCCCCTTCTCATTTGCAGAACATCTATCTCCCTCCTATCATATTGTTCTGTATGTTTTGGGTTTCTCATATAAGAGTAACTATGTGATATTTAAGCTTGTGTATCCAAAACACATGCCATATATTGTGATCACACTACATATATATATGTAGTGATATTACATATATATTTGAATGACTGAAGGAATAACCAGGCCATTGTTAATCATGTGAGGCAGGATTGGGGGAAGAACTATTGTTTTTCATTTATAGTTACATTGTTTCATTTGTTATAAGAAACACCTATTTTTTGTTATCAAAAAGATCTAATAAAAATCAAAACCTGCTCAAAAATATCTCAGCTGTAAAAAAATTATCAAATGGTTTCTGGGAAAGACCAGGCACATAATCCTGACCCCTCCCTGCCCCCAAGCCCAGGCCAAGGGAGGGAAGGACTCCAGGAAGGGGTGAAGGCAGGGTGCGTGCTGAGAGCACAGAGCGAATGGGATACAGTGTTTAGCCACAGGACTGCTGAGTTTTGCCAAGGGGGCTCCTGTTGAATTACACTTTGGGGGGACAACTTCATGGGTGCTGGGGGGCCAAAGGGGGCCACTGTGAAGAGCAGAGTGCGGGACAAGCATGGACTCAGCGTGAGCGCTCCCCTTCTTCCCTCCCATTTACCCACCCCCCCCATTTTCTTCCTCCCCCCCCCTTCTCCCTCCCAAGTGGTCTTCACCCCAGGCTGCACACTGCTTTTAAGCCCATCTCATAGACCGAGCCCTACAGCCTTGGTGATGCCGAGGGACTATCTTGGTGCGTGCAGGGCTCACAGTCCTCAGTCAGAGGGTGTCTGCTTGCTATCGAATGGGCTAGAGACCAGCAGTGTCTTCCAGGCTATTTGTCCCCTGCTATGAATTGGTCAAGAAATTTGACGGATGTGAAAGGTTACCAATTATTTTAGGACAGAAATGTTTTTCTGTTGTTTAAAAAAAGGAAAGTACAAAAGTGCTCAGGGAGAAAAGGGAGCTTTGAAGGAAAAAGAGAAGGTATAGAGAAGAGATGTCCTGCACGCAGCATAAACCATAGGAAGAGCAAGAGGACAGCAGCAGCAGGGGTGAGTGCTGCGTCCTTTTATGTCTTCTTCGTAGTTGGTCCAGGTGGTACCACTTGAGCGCGTGCTAGAAGATTGCTGTCAGGTGCCAGGTTTGGCGTGTTCTGTTGTCAGACTCATGCAGCACTGGGTGCAGCACTTGGTTGGATCCCGTGTGGGGCTTATTAACCACGGGCAAGGACCAGGTGCTGCTGCTCTGCTGCTGCGGTTAACAAGTCTCCTGATTTGTAGGTCGTGTCCAGCTGCTCCAGACGCATGGCCGTGGCCTGGCCTCCTACTACATGCTGGGCCTTCCCCTCCTCCAGGATCACTTAGGTCTGCCGGTTCAGCCCTGCTCTGGGGTGATGCTCATCCTGAGCTTATCCCCAGCTGATGGAAGGACAGCATCACAACTTGTCCAGGGTTCCAGCAACCTCCAAGGGGATAAGCTGGGCCCAGCAGGACTCGGGAGAGTAGAGGCTCAGGGCTGCGCTGTATGGGGGACCAGGGACACAAGGGAGGAGCAGCACTGTGTGGCTTTGCTCATCGGAGATGTCTGGGCTAAGAGTGCCCCCTGGCACCTGGGAAGAGGGCTCTGGGACGGTTCACATCCTGTGCTCATTTTAGTATTTTAATCTGAGTCCTCCGGAAGAGTTGGGATTTTCCTCCTTCCCAAAGCTTCCTTGTTTTCATGCTGCCTCCCCTCTGAGGAAGAGAGCTTTGAGGATGACACACAAAAGAGATTTTTTTTTTTTTAGCAATAAACTTATCAAAGTTACACTGCATGAGGTCACTGTGGGCAAGGATTTGCTGGGTTTGAGGGTACCCCTTTCTGTAGCTCCCAGGACCTTAAAGCTCCTGGAGACCAGGTGGGGCCCGGGTTGCAGGGATGGGGCGTCTGTGTCCCATCTCCACACTCATGTTGCCTGCCGTGTAGCTCTCCTCCTCCCATCAGGTACTTCTGGTCACCTTTCTGCTCTACAACGACCCCTCTCCAGTATGATCGTCTGGTACCAAGTGGCCTCCCTGAGACAAAGGTGCTTTTTATTTTTGCTTCATAGCCCGTCTTTCCAGTCGCTTGTGATGGAGCCCTTGTTAGGGTGGGAACCTGGGGAACATCTCTAAGGCAGCTCAGAGCCAATGCCATGAGGAGCGATATGAGTGGCTGCTCCACAGGGCTGTCACGGCCTGACCCTGGTGGTGGAGTAGGTCCCGGGTCCCCAGGTTTGCAGCCACCATACACATGGGGCATTCCTGCCAACACACACACAATTATGCTGTCCCTTAATTAGAAACCTTGTTTTTACCAGGATAGCCTCTGAGGCTTGTCAACAAAAACATATTTGTACCAGGGCCTTAAGACACACAGGCACATAAATTGCCAATTATTCCGCATTCACAGTCCCTGGCAAGGCACAGGCAAGAGCTGTTTGCTTTCCCTTAGAACAAATTAAGACTGCCTTTCATGGCAACTTACTTGTGGGGGTAATTTTCCACCTCATTTAATTAGGCTAATTGATTCAGCTGCCCCGTCCAGGGGCTGCAGGGTGCTGATGCTTGAGGCAGATTTCTTTGGTTCTGTTTGGAGTTGGCTTTGCACAGCAGCCTGATTAGCTTTCCTGTTTTCAGACCCAAAGTGGCCTTTTTTAACCTTGTGTATCTGACTCTGCGGCACGAGAGTGAGGATGCATGGGGAGCCACTAGTTTACGACGCTCTCGGAAAAGGCTGGGTGCTGAGCCCAGGTGGGGATTCTACCCCAGGGACAAGGATGCCACTGAGGCTGAGAGGGAACTGAAACTTCTGGGGCCCAGGAGACAGGGCACCCAACAGATTCCAGCATGACCAAGCATTATCCTTGCCCATAATGTCAGTATGGATTTTGCAGGAGGCTGTGTCCCAAGTGTCCAGTCCATGGATTGTTATGAGTAGATTTTAGGAAAAATAAAAAAGATGTAGATACAGGCTGGGCAACCCCGATCTGGAAACCTGAAGTCTGACGTGCTCCACCGACCTGACCAAAAGTGGAAAATTCCACACCAGAGAACTTTGTTTCAGGCACCTTATTAAACATCTGTACAAAAGGACCTCCAGTCTGTGGATATAAGGTGTAGGAAACATAAATGAGGATCACAGTTAGACTTAGGTCACATTCCCTACCCAACTCATTATGCATATGCAAAGATTCCCAAATAGAAAGATATCTGAAATTCGGTACACTTCTGGTCCCAAACCCTTCAGAAGAGGGATGATTCGCCTGTGCTTAGATCCTACTAAAGGACAAAATGTTCTATTCACCTTTCCGTGTTCTCCTTCCTGCCTGTTTCCTGACTCTTGTGTGTTTAGTGGGACCCCGAGTGTGCAGGAGCAGCTGCACGTTCACTGAGCTGGTGTCCACAAGGTGGCTATGAGCCCACGGCCATATGGCCATATGGCCCGTCCTCGACTCCAGGTACGAACCATTGAACCCTCACTGCCACCTGGTGAGCCAGGTATGATACTCTCTCCATGTATAGAGGGGGAAACTAAGGCAGGAGAGGTTATGGCTGCAAGTGATTCTGCCCTGAGTCCCATAGCATGGTGTCAGGGCTCACTCTTTCCTTTCCTACCATTCCCGGAAATGCTCTTGGTGCAGAAAAACAAGGGTGAGTTTCCGTGTTTTGCAGGAGGGTCCTGTGTCCCTCTCCTGGACTGATATATAAACGTCCTCCTGGTAGATTAGTGAGGGAAAGCAGACTTTGTGTCAATATTGGTCAGAAACAGAGGTTGGCTGATGTTCAGTAAAGGGCTGGATGTGGAATACATAGGCCATATATGGCCTCTGCTGTAGCTCCTCAACTCTACCTTGTCACCTGAACCAGTGTAGACAGTGTGTAAACAAGTAGGAGTGGCTGTGTTCCAATAAATCTTTATTTACAAAGCCAGCAGCCAGCCAGAGTTGACCCACAAGCCACTGTTTGCCAACTTGCGGCTTGAAAAATGGTATTTGTATGAGCTTCGACTATTACAAAACAGTCTGGATACAAAACAGAACCTACAATCCTATTTCCCTTATCATCAAATGTGTTGCATGTTTTCCTATCCAGGCTGATTTCTTGAGGCTTCCTTTGCTCTCTCTTTTTCTTCTGACAGATGACAGCTCTGTGTGCTGAATAAACCAGAATTTGTGATTTTCCTTAGCCTAAAAGCAAGGTGGTCAGGCCACCCAGGGCCGTGGCAAACAGCAGTGGGTAAGAGAACAAGGCCCTCTCCAATAAACAGCCTGGACTGTTTATTGAGTTTTCGAGGCTGTAAGCCCTCAGGGAAATTCCAGGAGCCTGAGGTTGGCAGAGACACAGAGTGGGGTGTATCCTGTTGTCACTGACCAACAGCAAATGTACCCTTACCCTAATGCCTTTGAACAACCCTGTTTTTTTGGGGGTTTTTTTGGTACTGGGGATCGAACTCAGGTCCTTGTGCTTGCAAGGCAGGCAGCGGAACCACTGAGCTAAATCCCGGCCCCTAATGCTTTTGAGAACAACACTGTAGCCATTCTCCTGTCCTCATTAAGTCAGAATTTGCAGGGTGACTCTTTGAAGCCTAGTTAAATACACTGAGGCTTTTTTGAGATTCAGGAGGTGCCACCTAGCAAGGAGGATGCCAAGTATCAGAGCTTCTCTTGGGGAGCCGGAGCAGGATGTGTAGGTGCTGGGGAAGGGGCCGTGCTTCCTGGAGAAACTGGCATAGCTCAGCCCATGTGTTAATTACAATAATTACAATAATATACCCTTACAAAGAGAAGGAAGATGAAACAGGGTCAACATTCACAGGTCTAAGACACAGAAAACCACAATAGGTGTGATGATTTAAAGATATAAAAAATGTAGTATCAAAATGTGAAGGGGAGTTGGGGAGATAAAAAAAGATGCACATACATATAAAAGTATCCCATTATGTAGGCAACTTGATCCACAAGGCCAGGAACGTGCCCCTCAAAGTGAATGATTTAAGCATTTTTTAAGGTAAAAAAGCTTTAAATTCATGTGTAAAAACTGCATTTTTTTTTCCAACCAGATCTTGGAACTTGTTAAATTTTATTCATTCAGTTGGTGTTTATTGAGCACCATTTATCTGACACTGTGTTAGACTCCAAGATGAAGAATATACAAAACTAAATTTCTGCCCCCGAGGGGCTATTTTCTGCTCCACTATAGCACAAGTGGACTTGGTCTTTCTTTTTTTGGATGTTTCCCCAGGTAGGGAAAAGGAGCATCCTGGTCTCCTCACCAAGGGCCTTGTTTATGCCCGTTGTCCCACGGGACTATTAGTAGCCCCAACATTGGCTCGCCAGATGCCTCAGCGTGGCTAATGTCATCCTAACCACAGGACCTGACCAATAATTGACCTTGGAAGACATGCTTCTACCTGCTGACCTACTTGTCTGTCCACGTCTGGTTGAATTAGTAGTGAACCCCAGTTCAGATCAGAGCCAGTCAGATTCTCTCTTGATAAATTTGGACTGACTGAGACCCAGAGGCTGAGATGGCTGGAATGGGCCAAAGGGGTTGTGGAGTTGTGGAGTTGTGGAGCACTGGCCTGATCTACTGCCGTAACAACCTGAGGACATATTTGCAAGCCATCACGATGGGAGTTGAGGAACCAAAGGCATTGGAAAGAAGTCAACAGGGAGAAGATGATCCTGTTTTCTTGTCGTTGCTGGTTCAGATAGCAACACTGGGCTTGGCAGGAAGTGTGGCTCCTATCACTCCCCACCCCCCTCCAGGGATGCCATGGGCTCTCCACACTATTTTCCCTTCCCTCTCCAGGGCCCTTCCTCTCCCTCTGAAGTCAAATGGTGAAGACATCAAGAGAACTACTCTCCTAAGTGCTCACAGAGAAATTTGAAAGCTACTCCAAGTATACAAAGTTGGGCATTTCATTCCCTGACTGTGATGTCTGGTTACCAGGTTTGAGAGCCCATACCTGAGAGCAGAAAGAGCCCTGGGAGGAGATGGTACAGAAAGCCA